TCAACCTCTCTTTTCGGGATAAAGTTTAATTAAAAGCTCTCTGAAACTCACCGAATGATTACGTAGAAGTGAAAATAAGATTTATGGCGAAAAGTCAATATTCGAAATGCGTAGGAATGGGAAAAGAAAAATACCCGCACTGTGGAGAGCCAACACATTGCAGCTGAAACGCGGAAAGCGAAATATTGACAGCTTACACTTGACCCACATGCGATATAAAGAGCGAGTATACATCGCGGAACGCTCAACGAAATGCACGTGCTCGTGTAATAAATGGATAGAATGGCGCGTACGCCCACGCACAGCAATGCATGAGAAATGGTAAAATGTATACGTAAACAGAATTGTGGAAACGTCAATGTCTCGACGGTACATAAAAATAAAAAAAAAATCACTCACCGGCCGATGCGCAACAGCGGAGTTGTAACCCATCTGCGTTGATCTGCAATATAAATATTTTCTCGTTAAAACAACGTCCAAAATAATCGATAATTCAAGTAAATAATTGTCGCGCCCGTTAAATTTTTAAAACGTTATTTTAACAGATATCTGATTTCAAAATGCAAACGCAAGAAACTATCGCGGCCGTTGTATAAACGGCTGCATATTTCGGCATTAACTCGTTCGCATATATAATAATCCGCGAAAAATCACGCAAGTAAATATTACGATCGTGCGAATATCGCGACGTCCGCGACGTAATATCTCTTCTCGTATATGATCTCGGAGATCAAGCTCCGAAATTGCGAAATTGCGCATTAAATCTCGAACGGTATTGTACGAATAATTCGCGAGTATCGTGTATTTAATGGTCGCAAATCACGTAGCGCTTAAGAAAGTGGCGGAATTCGCTACAGAACAGCAAAATAATAAACGATTACTCACCCCACGGTTGCTCCGCCGTCGCCCGATGCCTCCCAGGCCTCCTCCTCCTCTCCACGGTCCTCCTCCGATGTCGCATCTCCGTCGGCGCACTCACTCACTCACTCGTTCACGCGTGAAAATATCGTCACTTATGATCGCGCGACACTTTGCACTGCACTCCCGGTATTAATCTCGCGACGCGCGGCGCGTACTTGATTACACGACGATAGTAGAATTACGTCGGAAAAGCTACGAACGAAACTTTACGATCCCCTCGACGCCCGACGCCCGACATTCCGCAGATAGACGCGACGAGTGAATATAACATGGCGGAGAGAATATCGTAAAATCACGCGACCAACTTCACTCGCAACTCTCTCGCCAGGAGCAACCGTCTGAACCGTCGCGAGAACGCTACACTTGCTGCTTGCCAAGCGATTTCGGTTAACTGCAATTAAATCAATCGAGTTACGAACATTCACTTTCGCGTCTATCCCGCACGATCGCCAAATATCAAAATAGGATTAAATACGGAGGTTGAATGTACACGACGTTAATAGATTCCGATCGCTAATTGACCACGTCGCGCCTCGCGGCGTTACTCCACTTCGCGTCCGCTCGTATCCTTTATCCGTGTTCCGAAAACGACGGCAAATTCACTCCGAAGCCACGCGACACGAGCGACGCGAGGGGCGAGTCAAAGTGGACGATTGCGAAAAGCGAGACCGATCGTCCGAAAGAACGTAATCAAAAGTCACTGTTAACGAATACGATATACCACGGTATCCGTATAAATTCCGCGAAGCATGTGTTAAACGGACATTCACAGATGTATCACAGTTTTCCGTCTGAACCGGCAATTCGTGTACTATTGCGCACTCGCACTGTATTCCGAGAACAACGATACCACAATCCTGCGAGACGCGGAGCGCGGGCGGCGAGGCGAGGGTGTGTCGCAGTCCGCGGACATTGTCACTTCTTCTTCTTCTTCTTCTTTGATTGGCCAGTGAGCTATACTTACAGCTCTAAAAAGGCCAGGGCGAACCTCTTGTCGTAGTAGCCGTATCGGCGTATAGGAGCAAAAACGGCGGATAGTCACGAATGTCACGCGCGCCGAGTGCCAGCAGCCGGCACGCCGCGAACCGCAACACCCGCGACCTCGCGACTAACGGCTTTTCGGCAACTCGAATAGGGGGGGATAGAGTGGGGGAAAACTAACTAGACGCCCCGCGCGCACCGCGTCGGGCCATACCGGCATTGCCGGCCGTGTCTAGTTACCTTACTCCCACTCTATCCCTTCTACTCTAGTTGCCGAGAAGCCGCGGCCGCGTTGTAACGTAAACATCATTGCTCTCGAAGTCGGATCGTAGCGCGGAGCAACGCATGAATTGACGGGTTTAGGTTACGAAAAACTGGTATGTCGAATGTACATTTAATACGTGTGCTTCACGGAATTCATACGGATACCGAGGTATATCGCGTTCGATAATAGTGACTTACCATTACATTCTTTCGGATGGATGATCTGTTTCGCAGCGAGAGTCTCGCTTTTCTGCTGGCCACACACTTTCCAGTCAGGTTTCGATCAGTCGCTCGTTGCTCGATTCTTAAGCTCGATGAAATCCATCTCTTTGATTTCGTCAAAAAACCACCCAGCTGGCGAATTGGCGCGAATGGCGAACCGCGAATCATGAACCATTTACTGTTACTGCTGTAGCGTTTTACGGACAGTGTGTGTGGGCGGTCAGCATTTTCGAATCTCAATCGTCAACTGACTCGCGCCGTGTCGCCCGACGCGCGACTTCAGAATGAATTATTACCATCGTTTTCGGAACACGGATAAAGGATGCGAGCTGCGAGCGGAACGCCGGAACGGAGTAAGTAACGCCGCGACGTGTTTAATTACCGATCGGAGTCTATATTTTATAACGTCGTATGTTCTTGATATTTGGCCATCGTGCGGGATAGACACGAATGTTCGTAACTCGATTTAATCTCGATTGCAGTTGATCGAAAGTCGCATTAGCAAGCAGCAAGTGTAGCGCCCTCGCGACGCGACGATGATTGCTCCTGGCGAGAGTAACGAGTGAAGTCGGCCGCGTCATTTACGAAATTCTCTCCGCCATGTTATATTCACTCGTCGCGTCTACCTGCGGAATGTCGAGCGTCGAGGGGATCGTACAGTTTCGCGTTCGTAGCTTCTCCGACGTAATTCTTCCATCGCCGTGTAATTAAGTACGCGCCGCGCGTCGCGAGATTAATACCGGGAGTGCCGTGCACAAAAGTGTCGCGCGATCATAAGTGACGATATTTTCACGCGTGAACGAGTGAGTGAGTGAGTGCGCCGACGGAGATGCGACATCGGAGGAGGACCGTGGAGAGAGGAGGAGGAGGCCTGGGAGGCATCGGGCGACGGCGGAGCAACCGTGGGGTGAGTAATCGCTTGTTATTTTGCTGTCCTGTGCCACAGGACAGTCACTTTCTCAAGCGCGACGTGATTCGCGACCATTACATTGATACTCGAATTATTCGTACAATACCGTTCGAGATTTAATGCGCAATTTCGCAATTTCGGAGTTTGATCTTCGAGATCATACACGAGAAGAGATATTACGTCGCGCGAACGTCGCGATATTCGCACGATCGTAATATTACTCGCGTGATTTTTCGCGGATTATTATATATGCGAAGTTATTAACGAGTTAATGCCGAAATATGCAGCCGCTTACAGCGGCCGCGATCGTTTCTTTCATTTGCATTTTTAAATCAGATTTCTGTTAAAATAACGTTTTAAAAATTTAACAGGCGCGATAATTATTTACTTCAAGTATCGATTATCTCGGACGTTATTTTAATGTAAAAATATTTATGTTTCAGATCAACGCAGGGTTACAACTCCGCTGTTGCGCATCGGCCGGTGAGTGATTTTTTTAATTTCAATGTACCGTCAAGGATTTCTTCAATTCCAAATTAATTATTAATATCGATATTCTACGGCTTCTCGTTATTTGAATGATGTAATCCAGCGATTATAATTTCATGTTATCAATCTCAAAATAATGAACCAATTATATATAAATCAGTATATATTTGAATGTAAGCATCGTTTTGAGAAAACAATTATCAATGGCCCGATCAATATCACAGAATAATAGGTTATAATTGTCAGTTTCTATCGTTTCGATTCTTATTTCAACCGAACAAATCGCGTGTAATATCAATAGATATCGGTAAATGATACTTTGATTTTTGATATGTACACACGTGAATAATTTATGACAAATAATAGATAACATAATATTCACCCCCATGATTGCTCTACTGTCGCTGGATGTCTCCCAGAAACTTTCTTTTCTTATCTTCTTTCGTTGCATTCATACAACGCACACGAAAACACGACTAATTACGCCCGTACAATTATTAGAATATTTTATACAGTACTCTAATAGATATTAATGATGTTTAAAGTGTTCTTTAATATAACGAAGAACAATGCAAAGAAATATAATTGCACCAAGTTGCGACGTCTCATTCCACGACGTCTTGTTATTTAATGACAAATCGATAAATGTATTACAATTATGGACTATGCAATTGTGTAAATATAATTATCAACCTTACGATCGTGTTGACCAACTTTGATCGCTTATAAAAAACTATTATAATTTAAAAACTATTATAATTTTGATATTCCATATGAGAATTTTTAAACTTCAATTATTTTCTAAAATCCTATTAATATTGCACTGTAGTTGTGTGGAATATTCTGTATAATTATTTAATTAATAAGTATAAAATTTCCATATTATTGAAAGGTTTAGAATTACTCAACTTTCCGATTGAATGAATTAATATCCTATACCAAACACGCTTCGAATAATGTTGTATCGGTAACACGCCAATTCCTTCAATCTCGTCACTGTGCACTCTAGCTGACACGAGTGTATCTCGGGAAGCGTTGCACGCTCGATTTCACGAAATCCGATCCTATATTTTCAACGGAAATTTCCTATCTTATGACAGTTACGTCACCGTCCTAGATACCGGGCCAGATTGGCGCGTATTTCCGGTCCTGACGTATAAATTTCGTGACGGTTTCTTTCCGATGTGCAGTACGACATCAAAATTATCCTTACCTGATCACGATTCCATGAATCCGCGAACCCTCTCGGCGCGATCTCGGGCAATTTCGGGCTGCACTTGGCGTATGCGCCGACGGAAACGGGGAAATTCACCGGTGCATAATGACGGACGTTGATTCACAAATGCATCGCATATCGACCCGCATGTGCCGGATGGCTTCCTTTCTCTTCTCCAACGCGGCGAGTAACTAATTCATGGGATCCATATGGGTCTCGGTACCTGCAAGATTATTAAAATTATGTTAGCATTTACGGCCGACATTTTATGCGGAAACGCGATACTCACAGTTCTGAAAGCTCATGTGGTTTCAAAAAATATAGAATTTTATGTTAGCTTTGATATTCCCTTAAATATTCCGGCGCAAGATATGTTAACCCGAGTAACCGAATTATTGAAAATAGCGGAAAAAGAATTTAGTATTTATTTCATAATATAATAAATATCTGAACAATATAAAATATTCCTTTAGCTAAACTCGCGTACCAAAACTTGTAAGTTTCTCACAATGCAAAAACGATCTTTGTTATCTTCTATTTCTAATTCACATGTAGGTATGTACATTCGGAAACAGCGCTTCTACAAAAATAATCGAAAAAGAATCGGAACAATTTTTGAATTCGTTTCCAACTTTACCGTACCATTCTTTTGTGTTTACGTCACGTTTCTCTCGAAATCGCAAACCGATTGAAAAGATAGAAACGAAAAAAAATAGGAACAATGCAGAGACGCTAACAACCTAAATCTATAAAATTGTATTTCCTTTCTGTTCCTTTTTTAAATACCGTGTAAAAGGTTTCGAACATTATTTTGCCCCGCGAGATCAAGGATAAGCTGTAATAATCTCATTGTACGTGATGCACATCAACTGACCGTTTATAAAGTGACGCAGGAAACGGGCTTTTGCGTGATAAACGCGGGACAGCGACAGTTATTCGACGAAATAGTTAAAGAGGATTTTAGACTCGTATTTTCTGTGCCGTCGCGGACCTTATTACCAACAACGTAGTTATCCGATCTGTGCACTGCCGACCGCAACTTTCTCTGCGAAACGAACTCGCCGACGCATTCTCCCGTCGACGGAAACGATGTTAAAGATAGGGGAGAACTTTCCCCCTTTTGCTCACCGATACCGTAAAACAAAGTCTTATAGAATATAATATCCCGCTGCGACGTGCCTTGCAGTCGAAGAAATGGCGAAGAAATAATTCAAAAGTTTCTCGCGAAACAGCTTGCACCGTATTCGCCTTCCCTTTCTTCGCTCCGCTCGTCAAAAACTCTCTTTCAGACTCGTGACTGCGCTTAGCAAACTATATTGCATCGTAAATATATCAATACTAACTCAAAAAATAATCATATGCTGCAATATTGGACGGTTAATATGCGTTTTCCGTGTATTTTCTAAAATTGTAATTTCAATAAATTGTAGAATGAATACTGATATTGATTGAATCTTCTGTTCAGTGCGTCGATCATTAAGTTATACGCTATCAACGGTATCACTATTATTGTTGTAGAAAAAATATTTCGCGATCAATATTATTATAGAACGAGTAAAACACAAAGTGAAAGAATTTCGGCTATTGTTCATTTTTTAGACAGAAATTTTCAATTTTTCGAAGACAAATTTTTTTTAAAAGTCTGATTTTTTTTAAGAATTCTGGATGGCGTTCAAAAGTTTTATTGAAAAAAATTAGAGAATTTAAATCGATTCTAATTAAAGTAAAAAAAATCATAATCATGAAAACTGGGAAATAAGACTCGACATTTTCGGATTTCTATTTTCTAATTGTCAAAAATATTCTTGTGACATTTGAAAAAATCTTGTATAATTTTTTATGAATGAATCAGAACTGTCAATTATACCGACATTCTGAAAATGGGATAATTTTATAAAGGTGACTCAAAATAGATTTATTTCCTTTTACATTGAATTTGACTACTAATTTTGTGCGGAAAACGTTATTCTCGGACGGTAATAAACGGCTCTCTCTCTTTCTCCTAGCAAAACGCGAGGTCGATGCACTATTAGCTTCTCGCGCGCTTTTCTAGAGATCCGCCGTTTCTTGACCCTAGTTTGCATCACGGCAAGTAGGATTAGGTACCATTTATCCGCTCTGACCAGTCGCGATGCCGTAATTCAAGTAGCTTCGAGGGCGAGCATTGTTAGCAGAGGAAGATATCCAGTATCGGTTTAAATTTAAAACAATGAGAGATGGATATTATCGAAATAGTAAAGGTCATGTCGGTGAAAAATAACTTTCAATCGCCGGAAATATATTTCGATGTCGCGCTGTAAATCTGGTTCGACGTATGAATCGCACGAATAAATTTTATTTATCAATCAAATTGAACACATTACAGTAATAGAGTAAATTTTGCAATAAGGTAAAAAAATTCTGTGGTGATAAAATTGAAAGTAAATTAAAACAATGAATCAAAACAAGCAGATTCGGTATTTGGATTAGATAATAACGGTATTAAATAAAGGGACCGTATTAAGTCAAAAATATTCCTCGAATGTGTATATGTGTGTGTATATAAATAACATAAAATGATTTGGCTGGGTGAAAAAATAACATACTTTAAAAATAGCATTGTATTATTTGCTTTGTATCATTTGTATGGCAATGTACGGCTTTCCAAAACAGATTAAATTTATTTGACACGGCCAATCGTTATCTCTCGTTACCGTAACTTTATATACCCGGCTATTGGAGATTAACTATAGAGCCGTGCGCAAATTTAACCAGCGAATTTAACAGACACTGCTTAATTATTATATTCAATTAATTTATTATACTTTCTAGGAGATTATACAGCTTCCTTCTAATTGATTCGATTATGAGATATTATAATTTATAACGCACTATAGATTTTAGAGTTATCATTATTAATATTGCATATATCATTCTATTGTGCTTATTTAATTACGTTCATTGCTGTAATTGTTATTGTAATTGTTCTGTATCGTTTATCTATCTTATAATTTCTAAAGGGGGAGAGAGAGAGAGAGAGAACGTATATATTCCTATATCGTCTGATACCTTCTCAATGGATCCATTATGCCGTACTCAGGGGATTTCTGATGATCCCCTTATTTCCCATCTTGCCATCCCTTTTTGGCACCGGTGCAAAGGGACGCGCCACCAGGTACTATTTATTTGTCCGCACTGTTCGCAACGCCATAACTCAAATCCGCATTGCAGGATCGGATTATCTTTATCATAAAAAAATGCAACGTGTCTGGATTGCACGATAAAAGGTAAAAGCGAAAGAAAAAAATCCTACCGCAAGACTGTAACTTAACAAAAAAATGTTTGCAATAGTAGTTTCAAAATCCTTCTTTTTTTATTCTGAGGCAAAATATGAATGCAATCCAATTTTAATCATAATATGTATCTATAAAGTTTATCTGTATACAGTCAACTGTTTTAATCGAATTATCATATGTATCCGTCTATTAAAGCTATGTTCTTTCGATTAAAAGTGCCCAGGACTTATAAAGGCTTTGGCCCAACACAAGCATTGTTAGTGGTGAACGATGTCAGTGAGATTAGGGTACTTAATCGCTAGTGGCATATCAAAAGGGGAGAACCATTCTGCAGCTCAGTGACACGTATTGTCCGTAAACGTGCCTTTTGTCATCCAATTGAATCAGGAATGTACCATCTGCGCCACAAGAAAACTATTACACGCGATGATTGGCGTCTTGGCTTCGCGGATCAGAACTGCGTCGAAACATCGCGAAAACCGCAACGTAAAGAAAAATTTTAGAAAGAAATGATATATTCTCTTATATAACATTTCTAACATTTTCTTAGATGATCAACAAAGACACGTTTAAAGATGAAAGTTTTTACATAAAATTCATTAAAATTTTAATTAAAATAGGATTTTCTTATCCTCTTCCTTAGGAAAGTAGAATTTTAATTGTAAGATAAGTGGAAAATTTAAATTTTTTCGCGCACTTCTCGTTAAAGCATAAATGAAAAGATACGACATACCGTCGATATTAGATCGTACGACAAATTTAACGGGGGGAAATGAAACGGCCGAGCGATTATATCATTTCGATGAAAAGCGTAAGCTGCTTCTGCATATCGATTGCAATTCGATATTGCACTATATGCGCTCAATTTAGATATTGCCGGAAGTAATTGCAAATTCAGACAATGGGTGCTATATAATATTTAACATTCAACAGTTATGCTTCCGAATGAGACGATACGATATATAAATGCGATATGAAATATCATGCTTTTTCGTATACTCACATGTTTAATTACTCTAAATTTAATAATTATCTGCTAATAACAGGTTATATAAATAAAATTATACAGTTTATAATAATTTAAATTAAACATCGAATTTCGCAGCTGTGTAATTTTACTAAATTAATTATAAATGAAGAAGGATATAATTGGTTAATAAATTAGCGAAATGTGCCAATATATATAAAATTATATATATCTAAAATAAGAACAAACACGATATAAGAAAAAATTTTTTTTTTAAATCTACTCATTGTCAGAAGAATAAATCTATATAATTGAAATAAACAGAATAATAAATATTGCTCAAAGTAATAAAACTTTATTTTGTAGTATTTGTATGTAAAATTGCTTAAAAAATAAAAAAGTGAATTTCGTTAGCGTGCTACGAAAAAAATGCGGCAAATGTATAAATTATAACAGAATAAAAAATATTTCTTAATTGTTTTACATTCACTTAATTGTTTTTGCATTTTTTATCCAAAATTCATATCATTTTAAAGTTTATGTCAATTTTTGATCATTTACATATCTTTAAAAAAAATAAAGATGTCTTGGATATACGAAAAGCTTTTCGATCTTTCTATATCTCGTATATCTCGATGTACCTATAAATATCGATTCGAATTCCTCGAAGGAAACCATGAAAACAACCTTGATGCCTATCATTGTGACAATGCCTTGTGCTATAGTGTAATTATATCATTAGTATTAAGCGGAGTCCCATAGCAGCACGGGGGTCAGGTATTTAATTACGTATAGTAAAAAATAGATACTATAAGAACGTTCTCACGTGTACGGGTCGCAAGGTTAATCGATATTAGGTATTCTTAGTACGGTGAGCCAGTCCGTCGAGTGACGGCAAAATTTTATCGTCCGCCATGCGAACCCACGCGCTTCAGTAATCAACGTAATATAAACGGCTTCTCTTTGTGGAGAAGCCTTCGGCGCCGCTTTACGATGCGCGATGCAAATGTTCTGAAACTTGTACGATCATCTTCATATTTAACGCGAGTTCTCTTTCCAACACTGATCTCGCGAATTATTCACCTCTTTCGTGATGTCCTTCTACGATTGTCGATAAAATCCCTCCCATTGAACACCGCGGATTAAGCTCGTCGAAATTTTAATCCCTTGCGGTCGAGAAGTCCTGTAATCTGAACAATTCGAGTTGAAATTGAAGTGGCCAATTTCGAGATGTATAATGTTACCATTTTAGAAATAAAAATTAATATTTCTTAGGAATATATTATCTTATTGTTAGATCACAAATATTTCACGATTATACATTTGCCTTATTAATTAATTAAATTTTATTTACATATTCTAAATAGATGAATCGCAAACTTTAAGTAATTGAGGAGATCTGCCATTCTTTATCTCATAATTTTGTTTAAATTAATAAATTACCATGTAACACTTCATAATGATGATCGAGAGATGCATCGATTTATTAAGTGACGATACTAAGTGAGCACGAAATGACAGAAAAAAGGTCAGTAACGCGCTTTAAACTCAATTCACGAATTAATGAGAGGCATTAAATGCAACATGGAGTAAGGACACGATTTACTGGCCGTTCTCGATAATGAAATTAACCGGCTAACCGGTCTTCGATGCTTCGTTATCGTGAACTTGCTGCCTTCCTTTTTTACTGCATGACGTTATTCACGTAACGCGCAGTTTTCCGAAGCGTAATGAATTTTCTTATCGAGCGGAACTACGTCACGGACGCACGTATCGCGGACTCAACGCATTCCAGTATATATAACAATTGTATTTATACTGTATATAATATGAAACTTTCGAATGGTATAAACGTACAAAGAATATGAATATTGATTACCACAGAATAGAATATTTTCAGAATATTTTCCGTCTCGTGCATTGCAATTTTTATGATATAACGCAAATGTGACAAACATTCATATATAGAATATAAAAAAATCTGAATCTGAGATAATCTTAAAAGATCTAAGACTCTACCCTAATTATCAACATGATGTATTATTTGCATGCAATCCGCTATCGTCTAATTAGATAAAAAATTACAGCGTTAACGAAGTGAGATAAAAATATGATGAATCGTGAGAAAGTCTCGGGCGTCGAAGATATTAAGGTTGCACGCGCAAGGAACGTTTCAACTTTCTCTCGAAATCTTATATATCCTTGCATAATGCGTGAACTGATGCTTCTAAAATAAAACGAAAAATTACTGGGAAGAGATAAACGAGAGAAACGAGAGAAAAAAAAGGAGAGAAACGTGAAGCTATTCCTAGCGCGATAAATTGAATTGACGATGTGACGGCTCGCCACTGGGCAAACTAATTAGCATAATTCGCCTAAAAAAGAGCAATAAGAATCGACCGAATGATCAATGAACCATACGTGCGGTAGCTCTTCTCTAACAAGCTATACGTGTTTTCCCTGTATGTAGTCTTGTAAACGAACTAGTAGAACGGTAATCCGATACTAAAGTGTCAAATACACAGAGGGTGCGACACGGAGGCTCTACGTAAAGGAAAACAAAAGTAAAAAAAACGAGGTGGTGTCGCTGGAAAAGAAAATAGAAAAAATAAACGGCGAGAGGTTCCGCGTTGAAAATTAAATATGGCCAAGGTTTCTCCGTTTGTCTCATTTTCTCGCGTCGTCCACGCTTATATACTCCGTTTGTTCAGGTTTTTCAATACGCGAGGTCTGAATAAACGGAGGCGCGTCGACGGTTTCACGCCGCGCGCGATATATCGACAAAGATGCAAACCGACAGAGCGGACAGACGTTGCAACTAATATTTCCTCTTACGTCGCGCGCAAGAGCGAAATGCGCGACACTCCCCCGTTCCCCGTTCGTGCGTGTTCTTCGGTATAACACCGTGGAAAGTACTAGGGAGCCTCTGCTAGGCACACAATCCTGTTTACTCGTCTAACGGAGTTATACGTGGACGACCCGATGTCAGGCGGAAAAAGGAAATGACATAGTCGCGCGAACTGCGGCAACAAAAGTACGACGGCAACGGTGCTAAACTGCCGCTGATGTCGCATTGCAACGAGTCACTGTCCGGCGGAGTTTATGCGGCTGATTCCTCTTATTTCATGTGACATTTTAACTTTTGCAACGTACTGTCGTCCGGCAAATGCAAATATAATATATTATGAATAATGATCTTATTAACGTGGAATCTATTATGTAATTGCAATATTGAAATTTATGTATTATAATTATTATATATTACATTACGTCATATTCGTGTTATAATAATTACATATTATATTAGTTTATGTTAATTTTATTACTTGTTTTATCAAATTATGGAATTTATTATAATTAAAGTGTTATCTACTGGGAGACGACACCCCATGTATAGTTGTCGCTATCTGTATTGCGGAATTGTCTCGAAATTACTCAAAGTAACCGATTGCAAAGACCCTAGCACGAAGGAGCGGAGAAAATATCGGTCTGCAAGAAAAATTGCCCGGAGAGAAAAATATCCTTACTTGTCGCACACCATCGAAAAAGTTTCCCGATCATTGAAAAACTTCGCGTACTCGTACGACGGCAATCTATCTGCCTGCGATCTATCCGGATAACAGATTTGTATTTTAAACTATTCCATTTCCACTGCGTGCCATATGTTACGGAAATACGGTATATCGATTCGGCGCAATACGTTCGAACGCATGATCCCTCGCGGTCTTTCGTTTCTTCCGCGAGAAACGGTGCATTATATTCAACTCTGAAGCAGTTCTCGAATGATCCTGCTTCACATTCAAACGTATCAGCTTTATGATCATCTATCTCTATTTAATTATTATCAACCTCTTATGTCCATTTTTATCAATGCAAATTAATTTTAATTCTAGTTTAATTTACTTTTTATCTCCTTCTAATTCTTAGAACTAAGTTAAACCGAGATTAAAGTTAATCGACATCGATGGAAATGGACATTAATCTTGTAAAATTTAATTAATAATAATAAAGCGTAACAATATATTTTTCGCAATTATTACTCTTGTCCGAGATAAGCACATATCTCTAATCTCAGTCTGTAATTGCAAACTGAGGAATCGTACTGAGGAAAAAACCCTTGAAAGCACCTCATCAGTTGTAGACATTAGTCCAAATTCCACTCATGTAGTCTTTTACTCTTTCTCTCTCTGTCTCTCTTTCTACCTTTTCCCCCCACCTCTCTCTCTTTCTCTCGTATTTATTACACTAATCTATTACACTCACTTGTGCGATATCGGGCGATCTACGGTGCCGAAGCCCATCCACTTGTCGCGACGCGGGGTGCAATCATGGAGCACCTTTGCGGGGTGGTCGCGCGCAACCAACGGTGATAACGCGGCAGGTAGGAGGGGTGCTCGTGGTCGCTCGCGCACCTGTCCAAGTCCGCGCCGACCGATTTCGGCGGTCGCGCGAGAAACGCGCGAGTAGGTACGGTCCCGACGTAGTCACTCCGTCGCACCACCTCGCGAGATCACTCGCGTACGATCCCCCATTGACCGAGCACACACGCGGAAACGCTCATCCGCGACGACGTTCGCGGCATACGACACCCGCGGCGCGAATTCGCCAGCGATTTGAACTACGTCGCGACATTCCCGCACTCGCGTGCGCGCGCGCGCGGAAGCGAGCGACGAGCGAAAACGGCCGCGGCGGCGAATATGACGGGAAGAAATGGGAGAGAAAAGGAGAGAGGGAGAAAGAGGTAAAGATGCGAGAATGCGGAAGAGAGAGATAGAGAGAGAAAGAGAGGGAAAATTCGGTGACGGTGCGTGAGCGCGCGGCGGACGATTTAAAAACACGACGTTTCTCGACGACGACGGCACGAAGTCGTCACGACGACTGGCGTAACCGACGACAGAGAGCGACACGACAGCCCCCGACGGCCGGGTCCGACGCATGCGTCCTCGCCACCCCGTGCCCAACCCTGTTTTCCCAGAGACGGCCACCCTCTCGCACGTAGGCCAGCCGCCTGCCTTTTTCCCTCCATCTCGTTCGGCGAAACCGTCCCTGCCGTCCGATCTCCGAGATTCTCGGCGTTTCCGCGCCGCGAAGGTGAGAGCGAGGCTTGCATATAGTGCGACGACGGTATCGTGAACAAAATTACCCTGGCGACCTTTGCCTGAAAACCTACTCGCGAGCTGCTCCTCGCGGAGGAGCGACAATCGTCTCCTTTCACCACCTTCTTGTTGTTAATAATTGTCCCAATGTATTCCCCTAAGGATTTTTCCCTGTTTCTCAAAAATATATCTGTATTCAATCGTGCGCTACTTCTTCCTTTTCACTCAATTTACATGTGTGAAACTGCTGCATTTTCTGCTCTTAGCACCTCGCTTAGCACTATAAAAATAAAACGGAAACCGTTTGCAAGTAGAACCAGCTTTGAGACGGTCTTTAACTGCTCTATAAAATCTAATATTGAAAAACTAGTTAGCGAAATGCAAGCACAAGGCTCTCGTTAAATATTTTATAATTTCTTTGAAGTTTATATATAATATTAAATAAGCAATGTGCATTACGTAATCAAAGAAGAAGGTTGTCAAAGATCACAAAATGCACTACAGTCGATTTTACAATTAGTCAGCAAAGTATGTTTAACAGAAAAATTTGTGCAACAAAGGGTTAGTGTCATTCTCGCAGCTCGTTCTCTTAGAACCTTGTTAAACGCGATTGTAACTCTTTTTTTACTGTTCTCACTAATTATCATCAGATATTCTTTGAAATTTTGTGCTGAAATTCAACGCTTTTACATTACTTAATTTACACCGCCGCACACGTTATAAAAATAAAAAAGATTCTAAAACTCGTCGCCATTTAAATTTTACTTTAATTGCAGAATATAAAATTATGAGAGATGAAGAAAGGATTCTATTAGTCAGTATTAACCAAAACTCTCGTGTTACAACTTCTATAATCTCGCGATACGTTGGGAAACGTTGGCTTATCGTATGAAGATCTGGATGTGAAAGGGTGTTTGAATGCATACTCTGTTACCTAACCGCAGAATTTAATGCGGATTGGCTGTAAATCGGAAGATCGCACGCGTACTCTCGAAATTCAGCTTCCATTAACCGCGTATTGTAATTTGCGCCTGGACAAGCAGATGTTAATTGGACGCAGAACAACAGTCCGCCAATAATCGACAACGCATCGTGTTTGAAATCGGGAAATTTTGAATCAAATATGCGCCCCTCGTCTTCCTTGATTTTGTCGATTTTTTTTTAAATTATACAATTATTTAAAAATTATACAATTCACAATTATATATATATATATATATATATATATATATATATATATATAGATTACGAAACGCGCGAATGCGCGGCTTTAACATATGAACGAATATTGTGTTTTAAAAACAGCTCTTGATGATCTCCTAACTTTCTTCGCGAGATTAATCAAGTCGTAAAAATGTATCACGCAGCGTAGGTGCGACATTAATTGCGCGAAAAAAAGAAAGAGAACGTAAGAAAGTTTTAATAATTTTCTCCCCTGCGTAATCATCTCTCTCCCCTCTTGTTATTGTTGCTGCACACAAAATTGCGCAAATAGGAATAATGAACGCGTAAAGCAGCCGACAAAACAGTCGCGTTTTCGGACAGAGATACAGAGAATATTAGTCACAGATTTACGACGAGCGTTAATCGAGGTATCGAAACAACGTATGAAGTAACCGGGCTGGAGTTGAGGGTTGCATCGATCACAAAGGCTTCATATTTTTTAATCTCAAAGGAGAATGATTGCCGAACGCGTTTGATGTTCTAAAGCACGACGCGGCGCGGCGCGCTCTCGCCCTTGGCCGTCGCAAAGCTTTATGAGCCTGGATTAAAGCATGTAATACGAGCGCAGCTTACTCGATACCGGACACGGTATTTAGATACATTATTTCCTCTGCCATTAATTACATAGCTTTGTCACGAGGTAACCCAGTTCGGCGCGCATATTCGAGTATCAGTCGTCCTTATACGCGTTAATTTTATCCACAGGCGAATCGATTGAAAAATAACAGGAATTTCTAATTAAAAATTATATATTTTGACACTCGGGGAATAATTTAGAAATTTTTTAATTTTTTATATTTAATATAATAATAGTGCGAGATGCTGCAATGAATAACGAAAATACTAGCACTCGCTTTCTCTTTGAAACGAAACGCATAATCGTCTCATTTCTCGTGGTTCCGTAATGATCAAAACCGAGTTTTATGCAGCGATAAGAACAGGAAATTACGTAATATGGCAAGAAAAGGGAATGTAAAATCAAACGACACTGCGCCTAAATAGGAGAATACCGAATATGCACGATTCCGATACTACTTACGCTATTACGGGAGAACGAAGTAATATATGTATACAGACAGAATATATTATTTCCTTAAGCTTGGAGACCGATAGTGCGCTGAATTGAAAGGAAAAGAAAAGAAATGAATATATTATTTAATATTTAGTACGTGGATGTTGAATGCCGTTTACTCAACTTTTCAACGAATAATATTTCTTTAATGTAAGTAAATGATGTTTGAAATAGTGAAGGCAAGGATTCATTTCGAGACCAGGAAATATTATAATTTATATATAATTTGGCTAGTAATTATTTATTTTCTATAAATCTTATATTTGATACTAAATTTATTGTACAATCTGCAATCATTATTTTTTATAATGGTGCAAATTTTTATATATTGTCATGAGTTTTGCAACAATAAAACACAACTGTGTTCTCATACATATTAGATTGCCTCAGTTCTCTATTAGTTTGTTAATCTGATGTAAACAATAGATCCGACTAAAATGTCACAACGATTTAATTATCGAAGACGTTACGTGAATAGATTTTGCACACGCGTATTGTCAGTTGTTTGTTCTCTGCTTAAATCACCCTCGGGTCCTCGGGAGACAATGAATTTCGAAATGTCAGAGTTTCGTCGTGCAAACCTCAACAACTCACAGTGAATATACGTATTAGAAAACCGAAGCCGAGATAAAAAGTAAATACGAAATGTGCAAGGATTCGAAAAGCACAAATGCTTTTAAAAACTAAAAGTTTAATAAAAAGTTGCTCTTTTAATAATATTTACTTACTTGAAAAAGCTCTTTCCTCATTTTGTTTAAAGCAAAGAATTAGTCTTATGGTGAAAAGAGCCACAATTTCGTCTTTATATACGAACGTTACGGTGCGGTCCAGTGAAACGAGATGAGGGTTGTTTGGTTGCAAAAGCAAACGCCACTACTCGACGAATAGAATTTCAAATACGCTCGATGGTATACCGGAGTAAAATTTGTTTACGTTGCATAGCCTCGGGGTTACGGCGCTACGCGACAAAACCTATATTCTAATTTTCGTTCTAATTGTATATATAATACTCAAAGAGGATATATGAAATTCGATTTTAAAAATTGGCAATTCATATGTAATCGCAATAGATCGATCGTAGGGGAGAGTGGGGAAAATACGGACACTGCCATTTTGGTATTTTTCTGTCATCCGTACCCTTCCGCGATAGTGTCACCGTGTACAGGCTGGAGTCAAGCCCGTACACGTGACGACGTGACACTATCGCGGAAGGGTACGGATGACAGAAAAATACCAAAATGACAGTGTCCGGTCTTACCCCGGTGTCCGTATTTCACCCACTCTTCTCTATCTAACATGAAATGTATGATGTCGCAAATTTAAAAAAATTCAGGAGTAATAATTATTCTTATCTTTTAAAAGATAATATAAAAGGAATATAAAAGAAGGTACAAATGTTCGTAAGAAAGTTATTTTATTCAAGCAGGCATGAATTTTTCAGTTCGAGTCTCGGAAATCGCACTGTCTGTTCGATCCACTTTGCCACGGTAAGTAGCCTTTGTTCGTGAAAAAGTGGCGCCATTAATTGCAAGGACAAAGGTAGACCTTCGCGAGAGAGTTCGATCGGCACGTTGATCGCGGGCAAACCAGCCATATTTGCGGGTTGCGTACAGTGATCCTGAATCAAACATTGTGTCTGATTGTCCAGCTGTACGAATTCGTCGTAGATCGGAGCTTCAGTCAACGTGGTCGGAGTCAGTAGAAGATCTACATTGTTATTCCACAGAACGTCAAAGTCCTGCGCGATTAATCTACGCATTTTCATCGCCTTAACATAATACTCTTCGTAATTTTCCGCCAAGAGAAAATAATTCCCGACTAGTATACGACTTTTGACCACGTCGTTGAAACCCTCCGATCTGGTCTTCTTATACAATTCGTGAGCCGAACCCCATTCATCAGCTCTGTGACCATATTCTATACCGTCGTAACAAGCCAAGTTGCTAGCTACGTCACATCGATTTAAAACGGAATAACATACTATAGAGTAATCGGTGTGAGGTAACGACACTGGGACGACACTGGCTCCCGCTTCTTCTAAAAGATGAGAAACCTTTGCCCAACATCCCTCAATTTCTTCGCTTATACCTTGTACCCCGTACTCCTTTGGTATTCCAATCCTGAGATTGCTAATATCTATCGTTTCGGATAAATTAATTGGAACATATTCTCTTTGTACGGTAGTGGGATCTGCTTGGTCGGGACCAGCTATGGCGTTTAAAATTAATACAGCATCGTCTACTGTTCTCGCAAAAATACCTGGTACATCCATCGAATTTAGTAGAGGAATAAGACCATAACGTGATACTAAACCATAAGTTGGCTTCAGGCCGACTAGACCGCAATAGGACGCAGGATTGCGAGTGGAACCGCCAGTATCAGAGCCCAAGGCCGCATAACAGGTACCTGTGGCTACTGCAACTGCCGAACCTCCACTACTGCCACCTAAGATGCATTTATTATATCCCAAAAAATTATTGCTAATATGTCCCTCAAAGTAAGCTAATTAAACAACAGAAAAGATACACTAAGCAATGTCTAACAATTTGCGGCAATGTACCTGCTATATGCCACGCATCTTTTTCATGCAGTTTCCTCGTGGTAACTTGCGAACCGTCAGACCCGTACGAATAAAATTCAGGCAACATCTCCGAGCCCCATAGATTCTTCGTTGGCCCGTAAAGCGAGTCTACAGTGCCGGAGCCCATGGCAAATTCGTCGAGATTAGTCTTGCCGATCAAGACGGCTCCCTGCATCCTGAGCTTTTCGTAGACCGTGGCGTTGTAACCCGGGGAGAAGTTGGCCAACATCCGAGAAGCACAGGTCGTAGGTTTACCCTTGACGCAATAGTTGTCTTTAATGGCGATGGGAATGCCATCGAGCTGTCCCAATAATGAATTCTTCTGTTGTCTCTCATCAGCAGCGCTCGCCTGCTCTTCCGCAACATCGCTTGTCACGGTGATATAAGCGTTTAAAGGCTTGACGATTGAAGTTAGCTTAATTGAGGCTTTACAGATCTCGGACGGTCGCACTGCGCTGCCATAGATCTTCTGATTAACTTCTTTAATCGAAATAGATAGCAGCTTGTTCATCGTTCATCCCGCGACATACCACTAAAATCTAACCTCTCTGCCGGCGTTGATATATACATAACCTTAAATTCAATGGCAAGCAGAAGATTGCAGTTTCGCAAACAGCTGTGCGAGCGCCGAGACGTGTCACGTGTCACGTGAGTCGAGTTCGATCGTATCTCTTCGAATCGAATTCGAATAGTCGATAAATCGATTACTCGACTACTAAAAACGCTTTAAATATACTTATTGTTAGACATAGCTAGCAGTAAGATACTATTAAAGACTAATAATTTTATTGGAAATTCGTGTGATAAGGAAAAATATGTCAAAAATATTTTATATAACATATAATATTTTAGTAAATATATTAATATTTTTTATTATTTTCCATTAAACATATATTCCGTAAGAAACTTTCAATAAAATATTTAAAAAAAAGACTGGTAAATTTTCTCATTTTTATATCTTATTTCTTTTAAATGATAAATATATTGGATTGCCGAAATACGATCGATTTGTCGGAGTCACAACATGTTTACTTCGCATAATACGGTGAAGGAGACTGTGGACACGGTTTTGTGTACAAACCTTGAGAGATACCGTTCGTCGACTTCTCATATAACACTCAAACGCTGAATGGATCCTCGATCGAACGCAAGTATCGGAGTCGAAAGTGTTAATTGTGAAAAAGTTTCAAGTGCTTTAATATATTAATTACGCCGATTACGCACATTCAGTAAGCAGCAGTATGTCACGAATGATTAATAAACGTGATATAAATAACACCCGTAAACGTGCTACTATAGCTACTTTGTACACGAGCACGCCCACGAGCATACCAAATACATCTATGAAATCTTGTAATATATCCTTATCTGGGATCGATACAGCTTCTTCTTCAAGTGGAGACAGACCAAATTTACATCAGCTACAAGGTGAGGAATTATTATGTATGCTTAATTATATTTTTGTAAATATATTATGGGGATGAACCATTTTTCAATAAAAATTAAATTATTAAATTTGTACTAATTATGAGTTAAATATTATCTCTTTAATAATATTATAATAACAATTTATATAATTAAAAATATAGTTTATGTCAATTAAAATTTGAGGAAAAAAATGTTTTCAAAAATATATCTCTAAATCACTGAGGATTAAAATAAATTAAACTATAAAATATATACATACCATTAAATTAATCTATTTTAGAGCGTAAAAGACATACGAAGGGAAAGAAAAGAGAAGACACGAAATGGAGAATGAAAGACTCTGATAGCAAATTAGAAGCCAAACAGAAACATCAGTTAATCGACAAATCTTTAAATGGTTTATATCAATTAAAATTAACAAAAAATATTAGATTTTTTATTATTTTAACATTAAAGTATATAAAATATATACATATTTACCAATCATAAAACTAATATATTCTTTATATGACAGTGAAGCGAAAGAAAAACCTAACGAGCGAGAAAAAAGCCATAAAAAAAAAGAGAATATTAGAAGATACGGATAATGAATGGGAAACCGAAACGGAAAAGTCAATTAACGAATCCTTAATAGGTTCGCGAGGATCCATCGACGATGAGTGCATAAAACTATTTCAAGATCCTCCGTGTACACCGGAGAAAATTCGAGACCGGCCAATTGCATATGAAGAAAATCTTCATAACTACGAATCACCGATTATATGTTCCCACAGAAAAAAAAGATCGCATCTAATTTCAAAAAAGAATGATATTATACTGCAAGATACACTGCTGCCGGTAAATTCACTAACAACGGAAGTACAAAGTTTAGAAGAGACAGGCGAAGATGAAACAATATTCCGTATGTATCTTGTTGAAAAGTAGGATTTTTACCAGAAATACTTGTCGAGATTTTGTTACACACTTGATAATCGTTCAATAATTCTTTTAAAATTGTAGTTTAATTTTTGCTCAATAACGCTTATTTTATTATTTCTATTATTTTAATTATCGCTGAGACCAAATTATTTCTTCTACTGTATGTTAGTTATTATTCACGTATATTTCTACATCATTTGCGTGTAATAATTAATGTTTGCGAAATGCTTTCGCAAAATTTTATTAATTTTTACTTTATCTCTTCTACAACATACTTTTATTGAATGTATATTATTCTATTTAAAAAATTGTTTATTTTAGAAAACAATGCACAAACACATGTTTCATTACGGAATCCAGAAAAAATCTCGAAACAAAAACCTGAAAACTTTAGTCCTTATCTACAATTGCGTCGGGATCAATCTGTCAAAACATATCCTGGGAAAAAATTTCGGCATTCAGTATCTTCATTGTGGTCACCAATTAACGATTTTTACCGAAAACACCCTAACTTGCTTTCTAATCTTCCTAGGAAGACAGAAAGTATTTCGATTCCTCCAGGAATGATATGCGTTAAGGGATATTGGGACAAAACTTTACGAAAATGGATAAGGTATGAAGAAAGTTCTTCTCAGAATAAAAATGGCAAATGCAAAACAAAGATTAACAAAAGAAACACGAAAAAAGTCACACGGAAACAAAAATATAATGTATATGATACGACTAAAGACGAAACAGACCACGAGTTCGAAACCGGTGGTCAAGATGGTAAGCGAATGACTTTTCGTGAATTTTGTCGCAAACAAAAAGAGGTTATAGTCATATCTTCCTCGGATACGGATATGTAGGAAGGTTAAACGATCCATTTGTTTGTAGTTGTTTATATATTTGTGTATACATTTAATTGGTATACATATATACAATCTTGCAAATTTATTTAATTGCAAATTTAGATTATCCAAAATGTCTATATTTATTTATAATTATTTATAATTATTAATATTTCCGGTTGTTAACGTTGTGTTGAATAAATATAATAAACAAAACATCCCTCTAAGATAGATATATTAATAACTGATATATCAATTATATTTATAAGAAACTATTTTGTATTAATATAATTTATACGTAATAATTTACGTTAAATATATGTTAAAATGTTACTGCAATTATTTTCATTTTTTTTTGTTATACTTTATATATTGTTACTGATATTTGTTGGCTAAAAAGGCATCTAAACGTGTACCCAGCTCTATTTAATATAGAAAATTTGTATTACATTAGATTATATGATCTCGAAAGAAAGTATATCATCTTTCGACTTTGTAGAATCTAATATGTTTGCGAACAATATATTACATATTATTGTTACCACTATTGTTTAATTTCTTTAATGAACAATTTTACATTTCCTTTAGACACATTCTCAAATATTTCCTTTCGATTTTCAATATCATTTTTTATTAACGCAGTAAGATGACGCGTTTAAAATTAGTAGTCTTATCGTCGAAAAGATAAATACACTTGAGCGAATCTTACATTTTGAAATTTGCCTACATTGTTTGCCAGTATTGCTTAACGAGTAAATAATGCAAAATTATTGACATGTTTAAAAATCCATGTAAAGTTCAAGTATTTTAATTAAAAAAAAAAAATTATATTCTAAATTTCTAATATAAGGCTATATAGTTATTTAAAATAAAATACTGCATTATTAATCATAAAAATCTTTATATACTAATATTAATAGTGTACTAATATCAATAGTATACTAATATTAATAATAACACGAGACGAGCTTAAAATTTGCACAAACTTAATATACATTTATTATTATTTATTATCATTTCCGTTAGCAATTAATTTTAACTTCAAATACTATGAGATAAACGACTATGATATATTGTTATAGTTATCATATTCGAAAATGAATAATTTCACGAAGTAAAGTGATTAGTTCGCTCATTTGCGATAAACCTGCTGTTTACTCAGTTTCTCTACCACAATTGTGGCGCCGAAAAGATCGTTTATTCAGTTCGCGAAATGTAATCTCGCATGTAAAAGATGGTATGATATTTCACCGACTTGCATTTGCACTCCCGTTCGACAAATATTGAATTAATAATTGTTAATTTGATCGGATATCTTTGATAGAACGTTTTTATACCGATTGGTTAACGCTTCACGTTAGTATGTTGATTTCTGTTCTGCCGAGCTTACGAAAATTAAAATATCATTTTACATTTGTAAATTTGCGATAAAAATATTTTCTTTTTGCCGAGTGTGCACAATCGAAGTTTATGAAGACTGTTAAGCGAAATCGCTTCGTCGAGGGAACTTGCATCATACCTCAGCGTATTTTCAACATTCCTTATCTAATCGAGTCCACTCGATTAGTGAATCTGATCGTCCGTGTTCAATCAGTACAGCTTTTGCCCTGCACTCGCGCAGACCTCTGGTTCTGGTGATCTCCGAATCAAATTCTTGTGCTCGTTCGTTGTACTCAATATGGAAGAACAGCTTGTGAACCCGTTTGAAAATGACAGTATGCTACCGAATGATGTGCAAGAGAAATTGGCGAAAATAATGGAAAGATATCAACAGATGAGCGATGAGGAAAAAGAGCAATTCCAACAGGGTGCCTTTGACGTGTTAACAAAGTCTCTGAACAAGTTACCCAGGAACACGATTTTGCCCATGTGGCTCGCACCATACCAGTCTTACATTCTGTTCATTTTCGCGGTATTGATTGTGGGATTTCTACTCGGTATGATATTTCTTGCATTGCAATTGCATAATATTTGAACTTATATATAATAAAAATACAATATTAATGACTGATTCTCTGTTATGAGTGATAACGCACCGATAATAGTAAAATCATGCAGTGATTGCGTAATTATATAAATTATATATCCAGTTACACCGTCACATATGGCGCTTGTGAACAATTGAGGATTTTTCCATAATAACAATTTTATATTAAACAATATTTTTTAAAATTTTTACTTTTTGCGATAATTTAAAATTTAACAATAATCTTGTTTCTGCAGCTCTTTTCGCGCGCAGATTGTATCGACGTACAAAAGAACGCGAACAACGTCAAGAAGAGAAAAGAAAGCTTAGACAACAGAAAGCAGAGATGAAGAAGAAGAAAAAGAAGCAAACGTAACATGTGATCATATGTTCAATAATATTTTAACAGAAAAAGATTCATTGACGAATAGGTAAACGAATTCTTAAAATAAATTTGAAACATATGTTTTACAATCTGTGAGCTTTTTCTTTGACGAATTAATCTTTCTTTTAATCTTAATTCAGGGAAACAAAAAAATAATAAGAATTAGCATCAAGATATATTTATTGTGCCATTTCATTGACTTAAACATTTGTGTGCATGAGGTATATAACAAAATTAAGATAAACCGGCATATACATTTTCGCTTTCAAAATATTAACATGTTTTTTTACCCTTTAAATTATAACAGAAAAAATAAACTGTATTACCAAGTAACATACGTTTATACTTGTTTATAATTACAGTACAATATTGAACTTATTATAATTGATATCACGCGATGAAATCGCAGTGAGCGTTCCCAACTGCAAGTACGATTCTTCGTAAGTAATAAAGACGATACGTGTTAGACAGTTAATAATTATTTAATGCACTTTTCGTCACGTTGTAAAACGTTATTATTTCATACCCTTACATGAAAACACACAACCACATTTCTTAGTAAAATCTTAATGTATTATTTAACAGATACTAGCTATTGTATAATAAGCTGCATTGATGTTTATATAAAATTAGTATTGCAATATATAAAGAATCTACACAATCGTAACTTTAAACTTCATATCTCATAAAATTTTTCAATATCCCAGAATCTCAAAAATATTAGTATAAAAATCCCATTTCTTCCTATATCATAATATTTGCATTAGAAAAAGTGAGAATATCTTTTGTACAATTTACTGAATATCTATTTTATTTCAAATACTTATCAATATATCTATTTGTTAATAAAGGCACTAAAATTATTTTTTCAAGACTTGAACATTTTAGTAGAAATCTTATAATATTCAAATTTATTAATTCTTTATAATAATAACGTCATTAAAGGATTTTATTTTATTTTCAATAACAATGTTAACATGTTAAAAGTTTATGGAAATAAAAGAACTTATATCTATTTTAAACAAAAATTGTTAAATCAACAAAAACAGTAACAATTATATACAAAATTAAAATTTTATACTTATTTTAGCGTGGCACATATATCGAAAACCATCGTTTTCATAAATTGTACTGAAAAAACGATATATAAATTCTACCTAATTTCCATTATATAATCTCTTTTCATTCCTTACTCGATCTTTGCTAAATATATATATTACCATATTAAATACTTTTCCAAACCGCTATTAATTATGCGGTTTACGAAATGGTAAACAAAGTTGTATATGTATTCCGCGCCTTTGCACATTCGTCCGAAAAGATACGCTTTTATAATTACTATGAATTCAAAATATTCATAATCACAGAATATTTAAATGGCACAATCGTGCGAATGTACAAAATCTCATATTTACATATATCTTTCGCTGTTGCTAAAGCAACATAGTTCTAGCACTCGTAAATATATGATAGTGGATGGAGTAATATATCTATAAATTCTATATTCTTTTTAAAAAATTGCAAAATTGGCATCTCATAATTTCCTCTAACGGATACAATTTAAAATTATAAGACCCAAAATTATCGAGTATTTTAATGTTCGAAGATTGGGTACTTGGAAAGCTTGAGTGTTCGCATAACTCAACGAGCTATGTACAATATAACAATTACTAATAGAAAAACGCATTTAACTTAAAAAGAATATTGCACTTGTATATATGTATGTAACTTATCTATATCTTTCAACAATTATGTTGCAGATATGGCATGATGTGCAAATAGATATAATTAATATTACATGTAAAACAACTATAATACCGTTAATCTTTTATAAAAGTTTTGTACACCTCAACACATAACTCAACGCGTAAAAATAATTTTTTTTATTCCAAAAGTTAATTTTTATTCCAGCATATTTATTATATAGAGTTTATTTTTGTATTCAGTTATTGTAAATATATTAAAAAATTATTAATTATGTCGAGATCTTAAAATTTACTTGTTAAAAAATCGTTAATAATTTCCAAATCTTTTTTACATAACGTTATACGATATATAATAATCCTTGCATACATTCATACAAAGTAATATATTTTACTAGCTCTTTCGTCTCTTTTCTCTCTTTTATATTTATATATTTATTTAATAAATATATGTTATTATGTATGTATATTTATTAATATAATATGTATAATATGTTATATTATACATATATTTATTATATAAAAAATATTTATAAAAGAGAGAATCTCTGCAGAAATTGTTCAAATAATTTTTGATTTTATTAACAATGTGTAACGCTCGGTAGCCGGATCTGAAAAAAATATATATTGGCATTATTAGTTTCCTTTCCATCTCTTTTCAAAATTGTAAATAAAATAGTAGCAAAAGAAATTTATGTACCTTTGATAGTCTCGACGAAATACATACTCTCGTCTTTCATGTTCGCTACCAACTCGTCGGTGACCAACACGCGTATACCCTGTGGCCCTAGGAACAGTATTGAGTGTAGTCGGTCGTGGGGCAAGTTTAGAGCGTTGAGCAACTTATTTGTGAGCGCGGTGCTCGTCAAGCTGTCGAGGTAGGCGACTCTCCAGAGCGAACCGTTGCCTTCCAATGAAAAGTAGAGGGTGAGTTTCGGGGTCGGCGCCTTAGAATGCAGCGTGTTGAACAGTCGAATCCCGTCCGCCACGCCGCAGATCTGGATGAGATCCTCCCGGGACAAGCGTAAAATATCCGATGCAGAGAAACTCGCGAATGTTGACTCGAACGCGTTGAATCGGCTGGCGCGAAGCCACGCGGTTGTCTGCGTGGCATTTGCGTCGGGTGGTAATTCGGTTAGGCTTGAGGTACCCTACGAGATTCAAAGTAAAGTTATCATAAATAAGCGACGTGGGTTGAGTAGCTTCCAATTCTATACGATCCCCCCTTTATAATTGTTAATTTTATATTCACAATTTTTAGAGAAGACACTTTTTTTCAAAAACATCGATATAAGGTAAAATACGAAAACAAATTACGTGCCACTACTTTCATTATGTAATAATGTAATATGAAACATTTTCTTCTCCCCCCCATCGATTTTTTTCTCTTTACTTCAAAACATCGAATAAAAAAATTCAGGATCGGAAGAATAAGTTAATTATTTACAACAAAGATCTTTACTGTTTTCATAAACTCGATTAGTTGTTGCGGGAAAGTAGCTTTGTGTGCAGTCAAACTAACATCAGCTTCAATGCAAGGTTGGTCCGGCAGTATGGCCGCGGGCGATGGCAAGGCCGGCGCCGTTCCTACGTTTTCCTTCACGGCATCCGAAGCCGGAACCAGTGGTACGATACCGGAATTAGAAACCGAAAGTGCCAACGGGGCGACTACCGGAGAAGAATTGCCGCTGATGGCTGCGCGTGTCTGTGGTGATCTGGAAAACAGCCCAAAACCGATAACATATTAATTACTTGTCACGATTTCTCTTAAAAATCTGAAAATACAACTCTTAAAATATTGCATTTTAAATTGTATTAAATTGTTGCATCCATTATTTATAATAACAATATTAACATTAACATGATTGGAATAATTTCCTTCTCGCGATAATTTTCGGATGATTCTTGACGTATGGAAATTTTTCCGATGTGCAGGACATAAAAACGTATTTTAGATTCTGACGTGCGCCGTATATGCGTTTACTTTGTGGCATGTTGCAAAACATTGGCGAGTCGAGGATTATCTATCTTATTAATTGTGCATGCAACATAAATCTTCGACCGCTGACACTTATATGCTCAGCTGAACAATTTTATGAACGAACGATGCACGAGAATATTCCAGGCTACTTATTTGTTAATAAAAACCGATACCAAAATAACTTTGCTTAGAATAATAAATTTAAATCGAAATCTAAAAGGCAAAGTGTGAAAGTAACGCTCGCACATATGCCCAAAATATGCCTATTTATTTATTTAAATTTCAATAAGACCGACTAATATGCGCTAATAACTTTTGTCGCGTAAAAAAAATATTTCATGTATAATATTCAAGAAGTCGATACTTCTTAAGATTCATTCTTCAAAATTCCATTTTTCGATCGAAAAAGCTATATAATAAAATAATCTAAAAACAAAAAAAAAAGTCAGTATATCCTTACGCAGAATGCCCCTTTAAACAAATCACGAGTTTGACTTTTTTGCGGCCGTCGAGTCTCTTCGTGTTCCAACGCTTCTTTATCCGGAGGCTGACCAGTCCTCCTCGCATAACGTATCCTCTCTTTATCCGCGTGCTCAACAGGGCATGGACAAACTTAGCTACGACCTGCACGTACGGCGGACCACCGCTCACGATCACCTCGTGCTCCAGAATCCACGTGACGAACTGATCAAGCGGATAACGTGGCCGCTTGATGGACCAGCAGCTCTTCAAATCCCAGTAATCTCTTGACATGACGAACACACTCGCTGGACGGTGACTGGACCGAAAGGAATTCTCTACGGCGAATTGTTTTTCTCCTTGAAGGCCTTCTTCCGACTTTTCACTCGCTCATTCATAAACGTGGTACACGCTCGAACGTTCGACCGTTCTGCAAGCGTCTTTCCATCCATTCGTGGTCGATGTTGGCGAGGTAACGCTCTCGAATCTCCGTTCTGTCTTATCAGGTCGATCAAATGATGATTAACTAGTAGCCGTTCATCCACATCGCGCGGGTCGTCCGGTATTTCGGTGATACAGCGTGCAATGTTCTGCACCAGCCAGTAACTGAAGTGTCGCTCGGTGAATTAGAGTAATGGAGAGAGCTCTTGGCTCGACTCGACTCGGCAGATAGGATCAGTTCGAGTCAGTCGGATTGCATTTGTCTGCCGCGAACCGGATACTGCTAGTCGCCCGCCGACATTCGTTCGCCGACGAACTCTCTCGAAATTCTGACCTTCGCGCGTGGCTCCCTCGAGTTGAAATCTCACTGAGTCGCGTGATCGGCGGGTCGTATCTTATTGTTTTCTTTTTCCTCTTTCTTCACGCACAAGCGCCACGTCACGTGCGCGTCGAGCACACACGCCTAGTCGCGCGATAATCACTCGCGATCCAGAATCCCGCTCGAAGAGCGAAATCCCGCGGTCCGAAGAGTGGAATTCGCGATAAGTTTCCTGGTAAAAATCCGAAGATTTTTCTTTTTCAACGAATACAACCGGTTTATACGCTCCTTCGCCGCCTAGGCCGTTCGAGCTCCGTTGTTTGCCTTCCACTTGTCCGATGCACCTCTATAAAAGGAATGAACTTTGTATCCGCGAGAGCCACCGAGCCTATGATGTTTATCTTCTTGACGTGCTGCCACTTTGCATCGGGCCTAATTATAGTGCCACTTGTGTGCCATTGCGCGCAGTTTTCTATTGCTTCATAAAACACGTCGATGTTTGAAACATACCCACTCTATTTCTTCTTCTAGGAAATTCTCTCTACGTATTCTGAAGTTGTAAATCTCTTTCCTTTTTACAACGCGGAGACGAATATTTCAATTGTAAGATGAATTCAGTCTCAGAAACAATTAATGTTTCCCCGACTTGCGCAATTAATCTCATTGACATTTCCTGATAAGCAAGCGGTATAATCCTCTTGTTTTCTTCTCTCAAAGCTAAATGAATCTAATTATGCTTCCTTGAAATTGTATTTTCTTTCGATTCAGAAAAATCTACGTTCTATGTGAACCTCTCTTGTGTTTATGTTTCCTTGATTTCTCAAAATAGTAACTTCATTGCTACGTGATTTCAACAAATTCCCATTAGTCGGGAAAAACAGGACTTGTCCTGGTTGCAAGACTCAATTTAACCGCCCTTGCGTCAGCTTTTCGGCGGCAGGGCTGCTCGTCATCTGAGGGGATGATCCTGCCGCAACAAGAGCACGTAGATAGCCAGGATATCACGTGTTACCACGAAACTTAGACTATCGATCAGCGCAACTAAAAGTGCATGCGAAACTCGCGTACACTCGGTCGGAAGTCGATTATCTGCTGCGACGGACGAGGGCATTCCTGAACGGTGCTCGCTCACGATATATCGACTCGCAGATCTCGCTATTTAACTGTACTTGAAGGAGATCACTATCGCTTGAAGAAGATCACTCAATGCATCACACGTGGTTGTTAATAAACGCGGCCGCGAGCTGTCATATGCTATCTGTCACAAGTGATCTTGTCAACGGTTTTATTGCATGACTAATGGCTGATTGATTGCGTTACGCTTAAGTTCCTCGCGAAAGGAACCGCAGATGGGATAGGGAAGTAGCTATTTGTTCAAAAGACAGCGTAATACCAGATCGCCCTCGATTACGATGCAATTCGGATACATCAACAGCGCGAGAATAAACTGTTCCGATCAGTGAAGCTAACGCCCCTTATACGCTCGTCGAGCGTATTATTTACGCTGGCAATCCCGATCAATCTACTTCTTCGCGATGAATTTAGTCACTGCGCCGCCGCCGGAGCCTTGTCGCGTACCAGAATATACCGGACTAAGATTAATTCGGTTATCTTGAACGATAACTTTGTTTCACTTCTCTCTTCTCGCCCGACCGTGCACTACACAAACCATGTGACTTGTTCAAATATGAATTATCAAAAGCACAAACTTTACTTTACTTTATACAAATATGTAAAGTGAATAATCAAGACACGAGCCACGATGTACAGGAACTTGGAGGATCTCTCGATGCAACAGGTTTCAAAACTGGTTTCTTCTTCACCTTTAATTATAATTATCTCTTAGCCTAGAGATAATTAGTTCTCTCTGGGTTGAACTACTGAATATAATGCAAATCGAGTGTTAAGAAAACGTATCTGTAGATAGAACGAGATGACGCTGAAGAAATCTTCTTTCCGTAAGCTTTGCACTATTCTGAAACGCTTCGAGCGAGAACAAGTTAAGGACTGCCGGGTCGAGCTGATATCGGTTCTCGCGCGCACGATGCAACTGAGCGACTGCAAGCTCAGCCGCTTTCTTCCCGAGTAATTCAAGGTTGCGCGTCCGAGCTCGGTGGGACATCGATTTCCAATCCAGGCAGGAGAAGCGGAGGATTATACACTTTTTTCGGCGCCGGCGCGGCGGCGAGGAAGATGTCGATTGATAAATGTTGCGAGCGATTGCACGAATGTGATGCGTAATGTTACCGATTACTCGTAAAACAAGTACATACAGTACGTGCTCAGCGGTAAGATTTGACGACAGCGGTTGACAATTCCGATCTGTTCAATAATACGATCACACTATCTAGTTTTGTCGCGATCTGGACGCGCCTGAAATGGATTCAGCAGGGACACGCGGCTACGCACGATATACGGCCGTTCTGGATTTACTCGCGTGCACCGTGTCTTTCTTTTGCAGTGTCTCTCGCCTCCTCTTTCTCCCTCGCTCTTCGCCGGTTCTCCAACTTCCCCTCCATCGAGTGGCTGTCGTCGTCGGAGACAGGGACACCGGCTCGCGCCAGTTCGAGCCAGTTTGTTGGCGGCGATGCCCGGCGTTTACCTCCGCGTCCCCCCCACTTCCCGTACACCACTACAGAGGAACGAACTCCTGACGGAGGCATAGCCACTATCCTTCACCAGAATAAGCTCCCACCATGCAGCCGCGCACATAGCTTTGACAATGTCTCAGTGGTTTCTGGTATAATCGAAAAATGCATAATTCTCTTTGGAGTCCATTTGTCATCTTGGTGAAGCGAGGAATAGAAGAAGAATAACAGATGATGAGAAAAATATATTTTCCAATTTTTTTCCTCGGAAAGAAATGATGCAGCTTCACTCTCTTATCTTTTTTATTTTTCCTGACTTTCGAAATCTTTTTATAGTGAAGAACATTCGTATTCTTCACCATCTTCGATCTTTGTTTCTTTCTGACAAAAAGATAAAAAAATTGTATATCTAACTTTTCACAGAATTTTTCTCTGATATTTTCCATTTCTAACATTGTCAGAATAAAGGAAACAAGTAAGTTTACAATATTCAATTATCTTCATTTCTTCTCTTCATTTCTTCTCAGAAAAGGAGCTGTCAGTAAATGACTTTAAAATTATCTTCGCTACGCAGCTCATGGGCTCCGCATTTATTTCTACCTGCGTCGTAATATCGAAGGTCGCGATGATTGCTTGGTAGGATTTCTCGGTTATACATGTGCATATATATAAATAGCCCGTAAAAGCAAAACAACCATCGGTGGACATTAGTACATGGAATTTATCGGAAACGTTTTACTATTTATATCCGTGCAACAGGTATTTGTCCAACACACCGTGCAAATGACGCAAGGACTCGCCTGACTACGTGTTTCTCAGCACGAATGGGCAATCGACAAATCGAAATGTACAACGATGTAGGAATTAGTAGAGACCTTACTGATTCTGACGTTATACATATGACGATGTAGAATTTCGCTATACAACTAACAATAAGACTACTATAGAAATCATAAAATGCCTAGGATTAAAATAAGAAAAAATTTTTCTAATCCGTTTAAATTTGGATATAAGTAATTATGCGTGTGTAATGTGATGCGTGCAGTTGCAATATTTAGTTTTGCACACCTATTTTCGAAGGAAGCGAAAACGCCGCCGGTCTGACGACACAAATCACTCCACTTAGACGAACGATTCATCTATAGTTAGGCGGGTGCCCGAAACCCGCCGTATCCAGAATTGACTAGTTGCTATTTGTGCAATAAGTCGTTGCGAGGTCGGAATTTGTACTGGTTCTCGATACTTCGTAAAGATACTCAATCAATCCAGCGTGTAGAAGCGATACATTAAAGGGTAAAAATAAAATTCGTGATATTTTAATTTTCTAATAACAATCTTTTCTGTTAAGTGCATACTTATGAAGTCTGCGTTTGACATACAGATCTCTTGTACGAAGATAAGTCTTACATTTTTTTCTGCAAGCATCGCTAAATATTTCTTCGACAATTTCGACAAATTCGTTGAAAAGAATGTCATTTTTATTAGTATTTATTATATGAAAAGTATTACATATTCCTAACAATTTAATCTCTCCATATTGTATCTCTAATCTAAATACAAATCTGGTGCTGATCCTATCAATTTGATAATATTGTAAGAAATAGAAGATTGAAAAGAAATACAAATCTGATATAAAAGTTTTACAAACATGATGCTATTGTTTTACAAATTCTATTACGTAAGAAACAGGCGGGTAAAAAAACTGACGTAAAAGATGTAATTTAAAAATGACACATTGATGATGCTAATTACAAGGGCGGTACCATCCATAATTATTCTACCTTTTGGTTGTGATATCTTGATATTTAATTCAATCTGGACATTTCGTGACATTAATTAAAAATATTTCCACATAAAACTAAAATACGATGTCACTGCGTTTATTTCGACATAAATATATTATTGGAAGATGTTCGTTCCATATTACATCTATTCGCGATAATGACATTCAATGATTTATGTAGCATATTCTATTTCACGACCTCTTTCATACACGCGGTTCTTTCTGACAATGAGTCTCACAGTTTTTCGTACGATGACATTGTCGTCTGATTAAAAATATGTAAAGAGAATTAATGTAATAATCAACTTACATTGCATCTGTCGAAACGTACGGGCTTCCACTATTTTGCGTCGACACGTTTGAAGGCGATAAGGATTCCAGAGGAATCTATAACAGAAAAAGAGGAAAGAAATTGAGTAATAGATTTTATTTTATATATTTTAATTTCAAATTTTTTTATTTATAAAAGAGAATTCTTTGGCAAAGCTTACATCGGAGAGGACGGTGCAGTCGTAGCTAGGCTGATATTTATCCTGTTCGTGAGGAGGACGTCTCAATATCTTGTCACGATCTTGTTTATGCTTACGGTCCGCTCCCTTTAATTTGAAGACTTTCACCTGACATGAAGCGGCGTGCAAACGTGGTCCTCCTGGCAATCGGGTCTCCACTTGAATTCGGAAGGGTACGCCTTTCTCGCCGCCATGCTTTTTCGGTGTAAATTCAGTGCTTATGCAATTGACCTATTCACAAGTTGAACAAACACGTTTACAGCAGTCATGTGAATAGTACTTTATTGATTATTATAAAGTCGATAAATATATCTCAGAAAAAAAATCACATTTATATACTATGAGCTTTTGCTCGTAAAATTTTATGAATTTTATAATTCCGTTATACAGAGAATGTAGCTACGCAAAAATGAGAAATTAATAACATCTGCCATAAATAAGAATGAAAAGATTCGTTGGCGAGGATCAACATACTTTGATATAAATGCCGACTTCTTTTGTTGGATCCCACATAAACTCCACGCTGTTGTTGGACAGCGACGGTTGACAGACATCCACCATACCGTAACTGAGAGGAACGTCAACCTCTAATAATCTCTCTCCCGGCCTAGCACGTTGCCAGGCCAGCATCTGTTCCCGTTCTGTGTACTGCAACCGTCGCTCGTGGAAGCAAATGCGAATCGTCGACTGGAACAGAAAAGTCGGATGTCCCTACAGAGGCGTTGTAGCACCGTTTGGGCGACTCACATCTTTCGAACGTCGAGGACACGCAGTGAGCTCATGCCGTGTTAACTCGTAATCGCGGATTATCTGTATACCACTCTCATGACGAACCAATGCGAAAGAGTTAGTTTTATTTGCATTTATTTGTTATCAACAGAGTGAATATTAACTGATGTACTAGTGGATCCTAAAACATCGATAATAGGGGTGTTTCGGCAAAATTAATTGGTTTGATATTTTTCCTTATATCATACTTAGCTTTTACTTCAAAAACAACGATGAGGACATGGTAATACTTCTGTGTGTGTGTGATCGCATTTTTTTCAATTTTTTGTATTTTTTTTAGATTTTTGAAACAGATCCAACAAAACTGATTTTTTTTTTTTTTTTTTTTTTTTTTAAGAGAGTTGTTTTAAGATCCGTCAATGGTTAGATATTCCCAGGATACTCCTATATTATAAGATTTCATGTTTCAATGTTAACGAGTTAAGCAATAATTATATCAGTGCTTGCAAGTGAAAGTTATGATACGATATAATTTGTTACATAATGAATTCCGGAGTTTACAATCAATATAAAATTATAAATTTCTTTACTTTATTTTGCCACCTTTTTCCGACTGAAAAGAATCTGTGATTCGAACGATCTGCACCAGCATGAGCTCACTTGTCTACCTCGTGGGGGTTTATTAAAGCGTTTTTTAAGATGCCGCTACCCAAACATTAGAAGCGTCCAAAGGAGTGTTCTTCATATGTAAGGATATGATGAAATACCTTCAGAATCTTTCCACGGTAGGCAGACAAATCGCCCAATTTTTTCAGCTTGATTTCATATGATTGCCCCTGGTTCAGATACGTCAGCGTCTCTTCATTAACCTTGGTAGCGATGCTGGTAGCGGCTGCTAAGACGTACTGAAATCTAAAGGAAAATTTTGCGATATATACATACGACTCCATTTTTACGTAATCCATTATATAAAAATAAAAAAAATTAATACTTCTCCACTGTATTACAAATAGAATATTTTATTAAAAGAATATAAAACTTTTATCGACTGAAATTTTAACAGAAGCTTTGAAATCTCGATAGTTGCTTCGGTTGAAACAGTACGTGAATAAAAGTTACATAGTTCTTAGTATAATTTTTATTTAATTTTCTTTTAATATACCGATATGTAATATTATTCCTAATATAACATTATAATGTTCGTTTTTATCAATTAATTAATTAATGTTTAATAGCGCACCGGCAATCCTCGTTCAATTCGTTTCCCTGCTGGGAAGAAGAAACGTGGTTGGCCGCGGTCGAAGTCGGCGGGTATTCCTCGTTGGAGGAATACAAGAGTTGATGGAGACTAGTTTGTCCATTGTTGTTGCTATCAGCCTCGACGGAGCCGACATTTCCATTGCTGGACGGCACTGTATTGATCGCCCTTTGCGACACGTGATTTAAACTGAAATAATTCATAAGATAAAAATATTTAAGATACGTCAGACCATCGATATCGCACAACGCCGGCCCTCGCACAAGAAAAACAGATAGAATGTTCCGTGGTTAATACCGAGCCACTCACTATAAGTTAAAGAAAAGTGACGGTGAGACGTTTAAATCCACGGGTGTTCTCATTCTGGTTTTCGGCATTCAGTCAGTAGATATTTTCACTCAATCCCACAGATATAAATCCGTACAAATAGTCATTAACGCGAAAACTTGTTATTTATACGTAGAAATCCATCGTTTTGCATATTACGCCAGATTTTGCCGCGATTTCAATGTTGCACTTGTAGGAATATAATTATAAATGAAAAGCCACACGCGATTTCATCATTCGCCTAATCAACTATTCCCGATATTCAGTTCTCCGAGCTGTCTTAGAACATATCTTTTATATGATCTGTTTCACGCCGAGCGCGGAGAGCAACAAGATCACGAACCGACCTTTCACGATCTCATCTTCTTCTCGTTAAACATTGATATGATGAATCCCAAGCGATTTATACGACGGCGCGGCGTTTCTCCCCGCTTTTCCGTTTATCGGATGATCAGATAACGAGCTTTAACTCGCACAAAAATTTCTCACACGAATCATCGAATAAAATAGCAGTTCTGGAAAACAGGAGAATTTTCGAAAGGGAGTGAAAGTATACTTAATGCAGAATTACTTCATCACTTCATCGGTACCACTTCACGGTTCTAAAAAGATCGACATCTGAGATTTAGATATAGTCATTGGAAGTTGGTATATATAAAAATTATTTTCCTTTTCATTTTTATTCGTGCGATCGTACCACTATTCCGTCTGCAGAGCTTATATCACAGTGTTTCTTTCGCGAGCACTGCGTTAACCGTTTTACACAAAATCCGATTTGATCCCACTCAGAGGATCTCCCCTCCCTGTCTTTACATTAAAGTCACACGCCCGGGATGAGATATCGATCCGCGATTCACGTTTATAATCGGCGCGTCGCGTCACGCGGCCGACTCCGGCTTTACGGAACAAAACGCGCGCCGTGCGATAAACAGGCGCTTAAGAGAGTAAGAAGTTTGACCCGAACGCGAGCGACTTACTCTCTCGATAGCCGCGAACGGGCGTAACGATATAGCCGCGGCCTTATCTGCGGCCGTGTCTTTGCGGGGGAGCCGCGCGTGGCAAATTCCGCTCGGAATACTTTGCTACCCCCGTCACCCCTGACTGGCCCCGCGGGAGAGATAGCCGTCGTCGCCTTCGTATTGTGGTCGTAATCGTAGTAACGCCAGTTACTATCATCGATACTCCGCACACTTCTATCATTCGACATAAATAAACAGACGGTGTTGTAAGAAAATGATCCAATTCGCAAAATTAGAAGAAGAAGAAGTTATAAACATGGTTGAGTTTGAAATTCCACGTTTTTAAATTAATTTTTTTTAATTATTGATCAGTAAGTTCTTGCATGATAGTGTCGTGCAAGAGAAATAATCTTAATAATCAGTGATGACTTACTTGTTGGGGTTATTATGCTGATTTTCAGGGGATGGCGCCTCCTGCTTGAAAACTGTTAACGATGGCAAAGTAAGGAGGGCTTCGCTAGAAGAAGATAGAAGTTTTTGTCATGTCATATTTTTAGTCTAGTTTAGTCTTCTAAACTTATTGAATATTGTAGAGATATAAGTGTGGCAAAAATTATTCCAAGATATTCATTTGATAATACGACTCAACGCATATTTTTGAGAAGTTATAACAAAATCTTATATTATTTAATCTTAGTGTAATATGAATTTTGTGAATAATCTTCAAAATTGTCACAATTGTCTATTTAAATTTTCAACTCTTTTCTTAACAATCTCTAAAAATATTTTTTATTGTAAATTTCCTTATAGATATCTCTCTTTTTATCATCCTTCCTTTATATACACGATTTTTTCCCAGAGATTATTTTATTTCATTGAAACAGTATTCAATACAAAATAACATGTTATTTGACATTTTCACTTATCGTTTTATAATAACAACTTGTCGATAGGTAACTCGTGATTTTTTCGTAACGCGTTTGTTATATTGACGCACAATGATGACCACGCCATGGCATAAAGATTAGGAATTAACGTCAATTCATCTCGCAATGCATCAAATATACTAGACATACGCATATATGATAAGGAAAGAATAATTTGAGAACCGCTACGATAATGAGTCAGTAAGGTCAGCGTAAACCGGAATAAACTAGTTCAGTGTGCAACGAATTTAATCGGTATGAAATAATATCGATACCGAGTTAAGAATACTATCGAAATTTATTTACGATTCATCGATATTTACATAGCTGAGAGATACGAGGTGATCGATCGGGTAAACTGCATATGTTTGTTAGAATTTACGAATAAATTCTTCAAGCTATAATCTTCAAATATCCGATTTTCTAATAATGTAATAAGATATATTGAATAAATTATATATATATATATATATATATTAACAAAAAACAAGTTTCATTAAATTACTCACCCGGGTTTTACATACTGGTGCATACCTTTATTTATGATTAAATGATCACTTTATTGAAAAATTGATCTTAAATAAAAAATAATAGAATATTTGTAGGAATCACTGACACTTGCAATCTTCAGTAATGATACTGAAGCACGAGAATTTATCACAATTTTTACAGACAGTTATCAAAACAAGATATTAAAAGTGACATGGATTAAAAGTTACTTTCAGATAATTGTATATCCTGCCTTCACACGCAGTAATATAGCGATATGTTATATGTACAATATTCCTCATCTGTTATTTCAGTAATTTTATACTTTATTTTGACATTGTTTTAATTTATTAAGATATTGTACTTTTTTTAAATCCTATTTATTTCTGACAATATGTTCACGTGGCGTTTCGGCCGATTCAAATAATATTGAACGCGTAGCTTCGAGCAATAAAACAAGTAGTACCGTTACAATTCGTTTGACGATTTGACTAACAATACGAGAAAACTCGCGACGGGTGCAGATATAAATTACGGCTCAAAACTCTTGGTGTGCCGACATACCGACATGCCGCCAAAAATAACCGGTGTTATGTACACCTACAAACTGGTGCGTCAGCCGGTTCCTTACCGGTTCAAACCACGTAAAACGTATTCCACGCGCGTCTTCATTCATGGATGGATGTGTGCCACCTTCTTTTTCTCACACGTCGTAACTCTGTCACATTTACGTCATGTGCGATCAGCTGATGCATATGCGATACGATAGGCCAATAGTCCGTATCAAGATTTTTTATCCCTATTATACCTATGCCGAAATTTCGTAGCAAAACATATATTTTTCAGGCTGCACAAAATTGCATCAATCAAATTATCGATCTAACGCGGCAAAAAATACTAGAAAAATTTTTACTAATTGCAAACAATTATATCATCGTGTTAAAAAAATAAAATAATTTTATAAAATATACGTAAGCACGCTACTTTTATTTTCTCATTTATTTACTTGAAAAATTATGCTCGTAAATGCGTAGACTTTCAACGTCCTTCAACGCAACGTGAATTTACGATACGCATATAGATACATTATCATGATAAGGTATGTGCGTAACAATTTTCGTCGTGTGTTCATATAAAACTGTCCATATATGCAAATGAAATATTATAACAATTATAATTTTGAAATGCTTTTACAGCGAACTAGATAAACTAAAGTAAAATGTAATTAATTTATTTGTTAGAAGAAATTACGTACGAGAATTTCTTATTTAAATATATTTAAATATAAATTATTATATTTCTATATATTATAACATTTTTTTATGAAAACGTGAACATAAACGCGGAAACAAGAGAAATTTCATAAGTTTCACCGAATGCGCTCCTTTCTCGTTCACGTTAGATACTTCACGTACACTCGCGCACGTGCGTTGAAATTGATACACCAATACTCGTGGCCCGTGGCTGCCGACCGGTTTAATTTTCTCGTGTCCCCGGTGCGACGCAATGCCAAGAACTGTGGCCAGTTTTAACCGGATTTCTAGATCAGCTCGCCGCCGTTTCGTACGCGTTTCAATCTTGTTCGCGGCAGAAGCCTACGGTACCGACCATAAGTTCAATATTCGCACTCTATCGACGGACAGCCCTCGACGATTGTATCATCGAGTCACCGTAAAATCGGTACATAGTTAATATTTTACTATACATTTTTGCGGAGCATTTTTAGATTTTTAGAAAGGAAGTTTAAAAGAAGAATTATTCACACTTATAATTCTGACAATTTTTCATCAATACGTTAAATTGACTTTTCCTTAGTAAACATTTTAAAATAGCATCTTTTTATAGCAATTTATCAGAAATAATCGGATATATTTTTCTAAAATATTTCCGAAATATTAAGGATATCAATTACCTCATATTAGTGTAAGAGGCAACAGCTGTTGCAAGATCAGATGCCGCGAGAGCGGATAACGAGCCATCAAAATCGGCAAGGTGCTCTGCAAGTTCCTCCACTTGCGTAGACCAACCTTGGGCAGAGCCATTGCTTCCGATGGATCCTGAAACATAAAAAAAATCATTTTCAAATCTGTTTTTTCTGAAGATGTTCGTTTTCTTTTCATTTTTGTTTTATTTTAGCGTCATATTAGTGTCATGTGATAAATAGATAAATTATAAATGCGCTAGAAAATTTTAAACTATATTACAATTCTTATTTTTCACTTATATTCAATTTCACTTACATTCTATTCAATTCTTAATTTATATCTTATTCTGTGATATCTAGCAACGAACATTTTTTATGAGAATAATAATAATATAGCTTTGCTTTCCTCACTTTGAAGAAGAAAAGAGTTTACGCTAAAATGTCTAATGTATAATTTAACTTCTTTATATATTTACATATTTTTATAAAATATATTTTATGAAGAAAAAAAATATAAAGCTACATAGTGCACGAAATAATTACGCACAAAAATTATTGTATGGCAATCTATACTACTATCCTTTGCATCTGTATTGCGTTTTCTTTTCGAGCGCTACGCTCAGCTATTATCTGAAATAATCAACACACAGCTTAAAACTGTTCTCGTATACGGCATCGCGTACCGCATTGAGCGCCGTTGTAACCGATGTGAAGCTGCTGATGCATCGTGGTCGGCCTATCTTTCGTCTCCTGGATGACGTGACGGCGTCGACTTTTAGTGGCGACAGGGGGATAACGTCGACTTTGCAGCAGCGATATCCTGGATCTATCGATCTCACACCACTTCATCCTATTTTGGCTGCGGCGAAGATCGCACCCGTACAGGAACACACCACCAAAACTACGTGCGTGCACCTCCACAAAGTTCCGCCACTATGGCGAACTGGTATCGGGTATCTTCTCTCTTTCTCTTTTCTCTCTTTTTCTCTCTCTTTCTCGTTCTCTTTCTGTCTCTCCCTTTCCTCGACCAAGCTAATCTGCGTGATACATTGCGTGCGTATATGTACACCAGTTATCAGCCATGGATGACCACGTGGGCGAAAAGGCGTCGGACGTAAGAACACAGAACGCAGAAGTTCGCCGATCAGTCTTGAGGAGTTCTTCAAAGCGACGTCACTCGAAACGCATATCGCGTCATTGCTAAGTTCTGACCGTTAATCAACAATGACAATATTGAACGCGAATATTGCTTCGGACAGTTTCGAGCATCCCTCGGTATTCGCTAATCTGCCAAGTAGTCGGAATTTCACGCGAGCAAAATTTGATGGTGATTATTAAGTCGCTTGCATCAAGAGCTATATTGCATTGTGTTATCATGTCCATATAAATTAAATTTTAAAATTTTATTACAAGAACAATAATCTAGTGCAATATTGGTGGATACTAGAATTCTATTTATAGATTTGTATGGAGAGATAGTGAATTTATCACAGAAAAATATAATCTGTTAAAAATTTGGAGAATAGGAAACACAATACAGACTCCTTAATAGAGAGAAGATCTATAATACTTAAACAGCAAATTGAAACTCGTAGCTACGACAGTGTCCGAGAGATCGTTTGGTCACGACCTTTAAGAAGATATATCTATGGCTACACGATAGTGACGATCAACTTTACGCCACTGTACATTTAAGGCAACACATTCTTTACATTCTATGCATTCTTGTGCGAGAGATGAAATTTGACACTGTCAAAACTTAACAACTTTAAAAAAATTTCAAAGCAAGATTGTAGCTTTATATTTTTATCTCATTGCCACTATACATATAATTAGAAAAAAGAATTATGAATTTTTACAGTAAATTCACTTAATTTTATTAGACGTAACATACTGGGAAATTTGCTAATCTGTGAATATTACAAAAAATTAAAAAAATATACTTTAAATTTAATCAATAAATACTTCTGTAAATTAAGATTAAATAATCTATTATCTATAGATTAAACAGCGTGCAATAATGTTTATGTAAATAATTGACAATAAGTAAGAAATACCAACCTTCTCTTCTGATATGTTTCTTTTCAAGTTCCGTGATGTGTTGCAACGGTTCTGTAGAACGGCGTTTGAGATTGTTTTGTTCACAATTCGGGGATGATCCGGAAGGCGAGAGCTGTGGCGAGCCGCCATTCAAATGTATCTGATCATCGCCAGTCGGCGAATTTTTCGGCGAGTTCTTATCTTGCCATAAAGAATTTTGTGGACTATGATATCCCATTGCGGTCTGCAACATTGATATTTTGTAATTATTATTTTCGAAAATATAATTATGAGCTGACAGAAGCTATAAATCTGAAGCTGACAAAAAAATTTTTTTCTCAAAAAATCAAAACTTTACATTTAAAAAAATGTCAAGTTTGATAGAGAAATATATAAGTAATAAATATAAACAAGAACAGATTTAAAATTTTTTAAATGTTAATACTGCATAAAATAATGTTGTCGTTTCAAATATAATTTCAGGCATATGGTCTAATATAAAGCATATATAATTTATCAAAATGAATCTGACAAGAGAGACAATTATTCCACGTACCTGTTGAGGAGCGGCTACAATGTCGCACCTGTTTGAACGAACTGGCGATAATTGCTCGTATGACGGAGATGTGTTGGAGAACCACATCGCTCCGTGTAGGGTTTCCGCGCCGCCGTCCATCATGAGTTGCAGCTCCATTCAATAGCTTCTCGAAGTACACGTGATCGAATTAATTACCGTCTACTCTATGTACTGCGATACTAACGGGTTTGCCTACGGCGATTTCCGGACAGAACGAATATCTATATGCTAATCTTGGATCTCAGATCTACGAAGGGTATCAATCTTCGATCGCCCTTAAAGAGACTCCGTCGGCGAGCATCGATTCCCTAACGCCAAAAGATCCCTCTCTTCAAGGATGAGAAGACGAGGACGACTTCTTGACTTACGAGTTACAACTTTACTATTTTACATACTATACGTATATATATGTGCGAAAATAAATTTCGTGGCTATGTTCCTTGGCGACGATTCTGTAAGAGGCGACGAGTCCACGCTGATTTCAAATCACAGATCGATTATCTTCGTTTCCAGGCCGTTGTTCTCTAATCGCAAAACATATTCATTTCATCCCACCGCGTGTGGCTTTCGTGCCTATTGCAGATCGTGCTGTGCGTCCACCCTGTGGGTACCCCTCGGTCCAGATCCTCGATGTGACCGGAAATACACGGTGCATCACCCGACCGCCGGTGATTCTCAGGGCCGAGTACGCGTGCTGATCCGCCTACTCTTAGAACATCACGAAGAAGCTGTTGTACAGTTTCTTGATGCCGGTGGTCTCGCGCTGCCGATGTGTTTCCAAGAGTGCGCAGCCTCGCGACTTCAGTGACAAAAAACGTGAAAAGACGACGAACGCGTCCTCGAATACCATCGCCACACCTTGGCTGCAACGCATCTTGTTCCTAGTTGTGCCGAAGCTCTGCTGCCGTTTCGGCGGAGAACCTTCTCCTGTGAATAATAAACACTTAATTTTGAAATGAGAAAGATACTCAGTCGATATGTTTATTATTTCGTCATGCTCATTATTATTATGTCCGAAATGCAGAGATAGCAATTTTTGTTATGCCTTGTTTATTAAAATTTTAACAGCATTTATTTAATGTATTACTGTTGTGAGTAAAAACGATAAGAAAATTATGATACAACAATACAATTTTGTACCAAATTTATGCGATAATTTAATATATTTAAATTCTTCCTCTTTACCAAATAAGTTATATTAATAAATTTTAAAGCGTATATCAAAATAAAATAATAACATTGATCACACAAATCAAAAAAGTTTTATATAAAAATTGCAAAAATGTGTTATTCTTTAAATCATTTCTTAAAATAATCATAGCGTTTTAACATCAAATAAGTATTTAATGTATAATTCATTGTATAATGACTTTAATGCATTGATTAGTCATTTGATTGATCGATGTTTATTCTCATTATCGCCATTTCTATATTTCGTGATTAATAGCGTATTTGTTAAACGTTTATATAAGGTTTTAAGTAATAAAAAAAAGAGAGAGAGAGACTGTAGCTGTTTCTCAGAATAATAACTTGCCGCTGCTTGACATTAATTGAAGCTATGACCGATGCGAAAGCATGAAGTGGTTCCGTGATAATCGATCTTTTTGTATAATAACCTTTAATTGTTTCGTGCTTCCAGAAGTTAATAGATAATTTACTATGTTTTATAATCGCAATTAAATTCCCTCTTACATAATAAAATAATTTTGATCTATCACAAGATGATATTAATATATTTTATGGTTTATATGTCGTTTCATAATTGCGAAATTTCTCTTAAAAACTTTTTATATAAATTTAAATATGTATGATTTTTAGTATTATAATTTGCAAACCTTCTATACGTTTTAACAATCGATGGTTTTTCCCTGGTGTCTCCTCCACCTTATAAAAACCGCCCGAAAAAGATGTCTTCGTAATGAAGAACGGCAGGAGAGAACGTCAATTCCGCAGGTCCAAAAACATTCCCGAGGTAGACGGGTTTCTGTATGACACACTTTAATTATCTTATCAAGATCTTGCGTTTATGGAAGATCAATTCGAAACTCCGATGTTTCGAAACTTTTATGCCTTCTTGGATTCGAGTAGCTGCACTGCTGTTAATTTCCAAAATTTTATTCAAAGAAACGTCGATGAAGACAAGAGTAATCCTTGCTTAAAAAAGGCTGCTTACTTCTCGTAAAAAACTCGAAATATTCCAACTGGCGAGTATTCCCGAAATGTCTGGGTAGGCACGAGATAAGTTGAATACGTCTCAATTGCTTTCTAACGACTATGGCTCACACACTGGATAGTGTCTTGGGTTATCAGAGGCCTCCGCCTGACCGTTATCACAACATTTTCATAATCCTTCGTTCCATGGTGCCGTCTAAAAAAAAAGAACCCGATCCAGGAGGAGGTGAACGAGGCCTCTCGTGAATGACGTCAATGGAAGTTCGAGTTTCGTCCACCACGTTCGTCAAAATCTTCTCGGTAGCGAAAGAAAAGCTGGTCCTCCTAAGAACGATCTGCAAGGCGAAGGCTCTCCCGGCGGGACCAAAAGGGGCTTAACCCTCTCCACGATATCCGCGTCTTTCTCTCTTTCAGTATTGTGTTCCTGCCCCGTTACTGCGCAAAGTGACACTACCAGAGTCTTTCGAAAAGTAGCAGCCAATAAATGTGGGCCATTCAGTCGTTGACAATCTCGAATGTGGTCACAAAATCTCCTTTGCAATCTCTAAGGTAATGCCGAGAAGCACCTTATAATCTTCTTGAGTTAATGAGTATTCCGTTGTTTTAAGATTTATTCGCTACTGACGAAGATAATAATTCGTTGTTCTCACAACTGTTCTGTTCCGATTCTGTCAATGTTTTTCTCTTCGTTCTTCTGAACTAAATTGTTTGGTATGTTCTTCACTAAAAATTCACAGACGATTAAACCTTCGTTTCGACGGTTAAGCTTTAGCAAGATGCGGAGTTCAGGAACTTCTTTCAGAAAAAGAAGTCCGGCTGGCAAGACGGTGGTCGATAGATTGTCTAACGGTCCCGACACGAACTCTGGAATGTCCACGGATGATCCAATCCAATCGTGCTTCAAGGAATTAACAGCTTGGCCAATAGGCTCCACTCTCGAGGGTCGACTCTCAATTGGAACCACTCAGTGCTGATCAACGAGACGCGTTTCCTTTATCCTCTAGCGTTGTCGCTGATTACGTCGTCTTGCAAATTCGCGATTTGTCCACCTGAAGAGCTTAACACATCAGAAACTCTGATTGCGTTGCGGATGAATTAAATTTCTGATTTATCATCTGCAGTTTTGCGCTCGCCGTGACCGTCTACCAATTTATCTCGGAGAGATGCCCAGCCTCTAACTTATCTTCTGGTTACAGAGACTGCGGATTCGAGAGGAGCGACTCCAAGTAGCTTATTTGTATTAATTATCAGTTAAGACGTCACAACAGTGATCACCAATGATGCCACTTATCTTACAGTCTTAATTTTATTAAGAGGAATATGTATTATATGAATTACGTGTCTCGTTGCCGAAAACACTGAAAATTTCTTCGGTTATCTACAGATGTTAGAGTTTATATTCTAAGACGAAACTGTTCGACGACGCGACAACAAAGCCAGCCGCGGTAGTTTGCAAATTGGCGTAGTTTGTGACTGGCAGTGTCGTCCCGGCAGACACGTCGTAAGAGCGACGAGCCTGTTTACCACGCGGATTAATTAGTTTTAAAACGTTATCTCTGATATCTCGTGGCTTTTCGTATAGCACGACCTCGAAAGTTCCTCCTTCTGCACGCTCGTCTCGATTTCGCTCCTATCTTTTGTTCCGCGCTCTTTTCTGCCGATCGCCTCCGAACGTCACGATGCGGTGCCGATGTGTCTGTCAGCGCTGTCACGTGCCGGCTGTTCAAAGAATGCCTCCCGATGACGTTACTTCTCGATCGGAGCTTCTGCCCGACCGCGCTGTTTGCCGAGGGAATCTAGCGTTGTTTGCCGTACGCGTTCTATCTTTCTCAATTTACCGCGAAATTTTCCTATTCATGTGTTTTCTTCAGTAAGTTACCGCACTGACTTGACGTAGGAAGTCTGAAACAATAAAAGTGACAGCGATGTTCATGACCTCACTATTGACAGTGAATCGAACTTGAATAAGGGAGATTACACAAGTATTTATTTTTATTATTTTTGGCATACAATGTGTATTACATATTAAATTATAATATAATATGTCCTATACGTGACACAAAATACAATTCAAAACTTTTCTTTTTTTTTTTTAATATATGAAATTTCCATTGTAGAATTATCGTTCGTCGTTCTCCAGCAACTCTCTTCATCAGCTGTTAGATAAACATGATATTGCCTTCCTCATCTCATAATTTATGGTTCGCGACTTTTTGCATCACGTCCGCCGTCCACCTCTCTCGCTCTATCCTTCTTCTCTTTTCATGAACAATCGAGCGACTCTCCGCCGGAATGGATCAGCTGTAGTTTCGTTGATCGATGTCAATCCGCAGGGTCACACCATCGCGTACTTGCTATTCGCTTCATAGCGACTCAAACAATTCCTAGAACGCAAACAGGCGCTTGCGTACTGCCAAAGAAAAAAATGTCAACTCTGTAGATCTTTTATAGAAAGTGATGATTATCTCCATTAGCGTGTGACACAGTTTTCATGTTGTCCATAAAGTAGACGCACTGGAGATAGCATTTTTTCTTATTTCCATGGTCATATAAAGTAATATATTTTTCCAAAACTCACAGTATCAGAATATTTTTCATTCGCGACATTTTTAAACTGTATATGTAAAATTAATATACATATAAATATATATATAAAGTTCTTGCTGCAAGATCTACAGCATATAAACATTTAATTTCATGAAATATACAACGAAATAATAATTCCATTTAGTAAAAAAATGGGATAATCTAACAATATTTTTTTAATCAACCGCTTTATTGAAAGTTCTTCTCTTGTAGATGTAATGTTGCCTTGTACTTTGCATCTGTAGTTGTTTCAGATCGACGACCGTCCGAGCTTATCATAACGAGTCATGACCTGACAAGTCGTCATGAACAAACAATTAAAGTTGTATGTACGCGATGAGCATCATTATTTTTTATTTAACGCAAAAATTTCGGAGATCTATTTCATACATCAATTGTCTTGTACTGTATGTTAAAAATGACAAAAATCTAAAAGTTTGGCATGAAATCATACCAATAAAAGCAGTTGCAACCTGCTATATCGATGAAATTTGACGTTTAAATATTTAATATCGTAACAAAAGATTATTTATTATTTCTAATTATTTAAATTTTGAAGACAAACTTTACTTTATACATATATATAGTAATCAAATATTTGCTCAATATTTATATACACTTGATTCAATTGTAACTTTAATGTAATTTTAATTCGTGCCAATATCGAGAAACTGAAAATCATCTGACGTTCATTTATGCAAATAATTAAAATATTAGTATAATGTATAGATATTTCTTTATTCAAACTATTTCTACTTGACACATCAAAAATATTCAAAATAGTAATTCAAAAATACGTAATATCCATTTATAGAAACGTGTAAAATCCGCTACGTGTTAGTCACACAATAATGCGAAACAAATGTTTCTTAATTAATTATTATCATCTTCCACAGACTGCGTTGTGTGCTCTCAAGTGTCATTAAATCGTATTATAGATCGAACTCTACATAATTAAGTCGAATGGTAATATTCATAAAATCCGCCGAATTTTATCGATGTACTGATGAAATTACATACCTTTTATATTATAACATTATGCCAGGTGTCTTACAACTTGGTAATATTATCTACGTTATGAACGTTTTGACGAATTCGCCGTCGATCTTTGCTCATTATCAGCACCTCTCGTTGAGAGATAATTGCAGAGAACGTGCCTGGATTTCTCCGTGTGAGAAAAAAAAATAACCGACAAATAAGATTGTATATTATTGTCGCGGTGAAACATGATTATTTGTTTCTGAATTAAACGAGTTGCCGTCACGACACGAAGCGTAGAAGTAAACGACTAAGCGCGTTTAAATCATACCGATGATTTACGATTATGCATCGCAAAATGATTTGTGCTATCGAATAATGAACGTTGAAGCCCGACACTCGGGCCTGTCTTCATCGATTATAAATATATATAAACTTCTACACTGTAAAAAAATTGTGTAAAATTACATGTAATTTTGAGACCCACTATAATAGGTGTAAATTTCCACACATTTTTAATTTGTGTAATTGTAATACAAAATTACTTTTTCCTTCCGTACTGTAATGTTGTAAAATTACAACCATTATATTGTATAATTACAACTACTAGTGGGTCTCAAAATTACCCACTATAATAGTTGTAATTTTACAAAATTTTTTTACAGTGTAGGAAAAGTTAAATTTTTAATAAAGAGGTAAAATGATGCGTCGTGTGTATCAATGTATAGTCAGTAAAAAATCGAGTTCTTTCTTTTAAAATAGGCTGTAGAAAATCTCATGTAAAAAATATTTTGGCTATGGTCCAAGCATCAAGGCTCTGCTTTGCACTGAAGGCTGAAGCTCTGCTATCGAAAACGAAAGACAAAAGAATGTACAGAAATGATTTTTACAATCTTCGGGGAATGATCGAACGTCAGCTGTGTGTGTCGACAAACACAAGTGTTAATTCGCCGTGCACACCAATAAGCGGCAGCAGATGCGGACGTACATGCACGCGTCGAGGCGTCAAGGTCACGCATATACCGAGAGTCATTATGACCGAATGCACGTCCGTACCATGTGTGTAGTCTTTTGCGCCGTGTTGCTTTCGATTGAAATTATAAAACCGGTTGCAGTATGCAAGTATCTAAGTTGCTCCCGCGCGACCAATGGATCAAAGAAATAATTTGCCGTTGATAAATGTGTAAAATAATTTATTTGTTCAATAAGTTTCCTATTAAAAAACGTTTTAAATAATAAGTTCGATTGCCTTTTCGGAATATACTATCACAAGAGAGGTGCTAAGGGAGTATTGAATAACGATGTATTAGCGGGTGTCACCAATGCGGTTTCTTTTATTGGAATGGATTTATTTCTTTATGACGTCAGATGTGTGAACATGCACGATGTATTGTGCAAGTGAGATAACGTATCACAAAAATGTCATTATAATGTCATCTGTATGACGCAAGATAACGTAATTCTCATGAGAAGTCGTTAGTAAAAACGACAAACGAACGCGGGGGACATTAACAACGAAATATAAGCTTCGCTCGTGTACGTTTTTTTGTCTTCTCTGGCTTCGCATTAATATCTTCAGTTATCTCCAGAGACCGCGATGACTAACTGCCCATTTAGAACGTTATTATCTTCCACAATAGAACCGCGTCATCTAGTTGCGACTTCTACGAGCATTGATTTCTTCCACCGCCTGCCGGCACTCTTGTTCCAGGATTCCGCTCCAAACTCGGTATCGATGGTTTAAACCCGGCACCGTATGCAAAATCGCCTTGGTGCCCAAAACTCCGACGCTCTGATTGGCCGTGCCGTAAAAGATCCGCGCGACTCTGGAATGCAGCAATGCCATAGCGCACAGAGGACACGGTTCCATCAGCAGGAATGCCCAATAACCCGTGCAAAGATACGGCCCGCATTTTTTCGCGTTATCATCGCATTCCTTCTGCTTCAAGTCCTCGATCTTGGCACCGTTGTTCCTTCGTCCTTTTCGTACGACTTGCGTCTCGAGGGACGTTTGAACCGGAAACTGTAGCGAGGATAGAGATCTCGGATAACAGAGCGGCGTTTCTTCCTGATACCTTCTCTTGATCCTTCTAAGCCTCTTCAAGCTCTGATCTTCAGTCGTGGCGCTCGGATCTGTCCCTCCATCATCGAACGTATCTTCCTCGACAGCGTCCGTTTGTCCCTTCGTTTCTTTGCATTCCTCGTCGCTCAAGTCCCACGCACCACCACCGTGAAGTCTGGCAACGAGATCCACCGCCAGCATAGCGGCATGCCACATGGGATGCCTATCGATTCTCGCGGCAGCCACCGCCAGGATTCTTCCGTCCTCGGGATCGACAATCGCCGCGGCACCGGTGCAGCGCTCATCGCCGACCGTCTCCAACCTCGCAGCCTCTATTACCAGCGACATGATTCGCTCGATCGCGTGCAAACAATTCTCGTCGAAAATCGAGCCGTCGATCAGACTCTCAATCATCTGGTCAGGATGGAAGTTTACCGGCCAGATCTTCGAAGCTTCGCTGGCCTGTAACTTCGTCTTTGGCGTCTTGGCTGGCACCTTCGTCACCTGAAATTTCTCCTCCAGTAAGGAGAGATCGAATCCTCTCTCCTTCAGCTGGGTCTTAAGTTGATTTTCACTGAGAGAAATGTCGTGGTCCCTCTCACATGACGATTCGTCCGAGCGAAGCGGAGCCAGAAGTAATTTTCCGTTGGAACAACGCTTCAGATGAGCGAATCCCGGCAAAACGGTAGATATGCTTTTGATCGCGGTGGAGGTATCCTTCCGTTGCTTCAAGACGCCCACATAGACCTCTTGCAATGGAGGGACTTCCGTGAAATCCGAGCCTAGAATCGGTCTCGCCGTCCAGCTTCTAGTCGCAGTCTCCATCTTGCATGCCTTGATACTCTTCGGCGACGTCATCTTCCACCCTGAAAAGACGCTGCCTTCACTTATCGTTAGAAGATTCCTCGGCGACAATATTTGCGACACACCGCTCTGTCGAACATTATACACTGAGAAGAGTTCATCGCTATCTCTTTATCTCGCAGGGATTATTCTTTGCCATTATTTCCTTTACACGAGATTAAAGTTCGTAAATCCACAAATTTAACATAATTATTTAGCTTTGAAACTATATTTAGTAATTTAAGTATAATATTAAATATAGAGAAAAATGAAATATTAATGAACACAAGGTTCTTTTCGGCATCCATCTATTTGCCATTACATTTGCCATAATGGCCATAACTAAATCTTTGAATATAGATTTTCATTATAATATAAAAAGATAAATTATGTGAATATAAATTATTTGATAAATTCTGAGTGTTACGAAAACATAGTCAATGATCGACACTGAAATATCTCGAAATATCAAACGATTGCGAGAGGTGCCTTAAGGACACTTTCGCGCGTCACGATCGTAAATATCGGTGAGGTTTTGGCGAAAGTAAGAAGGAACGGAGATGATCTTTCCCGCGGCGCCCGGATGGACCTTAATCGTAATCGTAGTTACCCCGCGAGACATCGTCTTACGAAGGAACAGAAGCGATTTTAAATTGCTGTCAACTTGGGCCACGGTCGGATTGATTGTCAGAGTTAGGCGCAATTGTATGATATCGAGCTGTCTGCATGAAGAACAAGCAAGACGTCGCGTTAAAAAGTCCGAAGTTCGAGCCAAAGTTTCCTTTAATTTCGACTGTGCGTAAACATACGCTGAACGTTAACGTTTGATCGCAGTAAAGATAGGACTGTCGTTTATTACATCGAACATATCTCCGTCAACGAAAATCTCTAATCTTGACGTGAGCACTCTGTTTAAAGTTCCAGCAAATATATTCTTCAAACGCATGAAACGCGTGAAATACGACTGAGAGGCGTAAATACTTCTGAATAAATATCAAGAATTACACGATTGAAAAGCGACACTCGAGATTAGCCGAAGAAGAAGAAATAATGTAAATTAATAAATTTGCCATGGCCGCCTATTAATTTATATCATTTTTTTCCTCTTTGCCGCGTAAATAAATTCCTACGTAAAGGTCTTTTAGTTGTGTAACTCATTCCCGTGTACAGTTTACAGAGTTGCGGTAAAACCGATATGCATCGCGTCACGCGATTGATAAATAACGCTGTAGGAATCGTAAATTCTTACGCAAAATCACGATTTTCCGAGACAAATCGCGCACGCACGAGCGGCACACACACCTGCTACTCCGCTGGGAGACCTACTTTGTGTATCAGCCATCTGATAGCTGATATCGTGATACCGTAATAATACGCATCTTCCGTATTCGAGCAGAGAATAAAATGTAAAAACTTTCCACCGTTCGAAATCCGGGAAATATATCATACAATTGGAAGAAACCACTGCAAATTTTTTTACCGTCAATTTTTTTTATCGTTAGATCTTCATAAACTTAATAATAATTATTCAATGACTCGACTTATTATGGAGATGCCGCTATTATCACATTTATAATGCAAAGGAAGATGTTTAACGATAATGCGCTGTGTACATTTTTCTCGAGATACGTCTTTCATTTTTTTGCACTTACACGTAAAGAATACCGAATTCAATTTATCTTCTGATTTAATAAGCTTTAATAAACTTTATGATCTGCACGAGAATCTCCTATATCACATGCAATAAAAAACGGTCGTTATCGGATTATAATCTAATCTATTTTACAGGAATTTTTTCAATTACGGCGTGTTTTTTCTCTGCAACGCTCGTCGCAATACGTGTTGATTTAATTTTTCACAACGTCGTTTAATTTATTCCGAGCAAAAAGTAAGACACGGAAAAACAAACCGATTAAAATTCACGCGAGAGAAGCGGAAAGGATTATTGTTTATCCGTAACAAGCAAAGACACATAAATCGATGCAATGTCTATTTCGCCCGTAATTATAGTATACATAATAAAATTTAATCGATTCAGTCCCCCGTTGAAAAAAAAAAAGCTGTGAGTTAGTTCCGATGAATTTTTTTTCCGCCTGCATATTATTTTTCGAATCGAACAACGTCGCGCCGATTCAGAGAATTTTTGCGGACGCAGCGCATTCGAATTCCGGCACGAGCTCGCACCGCTCGTTTAAGATGGCGTCCAAGATTGCACATTCACAGAGCGTGATCCTTATATAACAGAAAACGAGCAGCAAGCGAGCGGAGTCAAGTGAAGTCCGCTTGACGCCTACGCCGCGCCGTCCGAGGCATCTTATCATCAGGCATCAGCGTCGCAACGCCGCTACGCGCGTCAAAAAACTTTCCAGGGGAATCTAGCTCTTTTCTCCCTTTTCTTTTTCATTTCCTTTCCTCACGGACAAGAGCTGCGGTCCACTTAACACTACAAATGCTTCGAACCATTCCTCTTCTCCTTTCTTTCAGTGAAGAAAGAAGGAGAAGAAGGACGCTTCAAAGAATTTGTAACATCAAATGGACTGTAGCCAAGGTCGCTCGTTCGGGGCTCATTCGAATGCGAGCGGGAAATCTCGCGCGGTGATTTCGAGCGATCGAGGTTCGAGCGGCAAACATGTCCTCCTCGGCCTTGGGTTGCGACATGTCGATCGTTACGCTTGCCTGACGCTAGCTGTCAATGGTCAACGATGCCCATTGAACGCGGCCGCATCGAACGACGATGACCCGTGACGCGCCGTCGCGACGCCACGTGTTCGCCATGCGCACGCACGCACCTTACTCGAGGAATTCTTACCTGCTGCTCCGCGGCGGTGCGGCTACGGCCGCACGAAACACGCCCTGAATTTCCCTCGGGTTTTTTCTTCTCCGTGACTCTCAGCGGTTCTCTAACGCTCACGAAATTCACCGTAAATTGTATTCCTGGAGCGCGGCTACTCAACAGCGATCGGAAAACGCGCGGAAGCACACGTGAGAATTGTGCGCCGGAGGCACCTCGTTTGCTTCGTCGCGACGGCTCTCGCGTCTCTTTGTGGTATGTAGCATGGAGCTGTTTATCAGCGAGGTCCACGATGGCGGCGCCTTCTGCCGGCGAGATGATAGACTTTTGCGAGAGGCAGGGATATCCGCAGCCTCGGTCATCGGTCGTCAGGTCCGTGAAATTTTCGCTTTTTTCGCGCGTGGCCAACGCCGGAATCCGCGCGCGAGTCGGTCATGGCCGCCGAAATAAGAATCCGAAGAGGAGCCTCGTTTGAATATCCGAGTTTTAATGTTGCGGGATTTATCAGTAACATTCCACCACGTGGTTTCTAAAGGGGATAGGACAGAGCTACAACTTGCAATTGTTTCTTTCTTTATTGCGCCATTATCACATAAAGAGTTTTGAATCGTTAATTGAGAATGGAATGCGAAACTGATAATTAAATTTACTTTAAATCTTTCTCTTTATATATCTGTTAACGTTTGCGATATTTATATTACAAAAGATTTTATTCAATTATTAAAGATAGCGACTATATTTAGGACAATAACGGGGATAGTAGGATAAAAGAAGAAAATAATTTGCCCAAGTAAAAATACATATTATTTTTAAATACTCTAAGTTTTAGACAAGCTAAAAATCATATTCAATAATCTTTCCTGTAGTGAGTATTATGATAAACTTTTGTAGCGAGATTTCGCGGGGATCTTTCGTTTCATGCAAATAAATCCGATAAAGTGCTGCAATAATATTTGCATTGTTAGACCGCAAATATAGATTTGAGCGCATGTGAGCACGCATCATCGTTTTTCAATGGAAAGATTTAATTAACATTTACATATCGCGATATTTTACTGTTCATCGTCATGTAACTCATTTTTATATTGGTATTGTATGATTGGTATTGTATGGGTTTTCTAATTAAAGACACGCAAATAGGAGAGAGAGTAGGTATATAAAAAAATGTTAATTTACATCTGGTATTTTTAATTTGCTAAATACATTATGAATCATGACTTTGAATTTATTCAAATATTTTAAGTTGTACATATATTTAAAATTTCTAAGCGCAGCAATTTCTTCAAATTAATTTTGAATTTCTTAAATCAGATTCACTTATCTGTGATACTATATACTCATAATGTTTACTTTACTGAATATTTCGAATTAATACGCGTTCCCGCATTATCACACGGAAAAAAAGGCTTGGTTGAATTTACCAAGTTTTTCTTGGTTACGTATATATTGGTAACTACAACCATTGACTTGGTTGCCGTAACCATGTACACTTAGTTAGTTTGACAATTCAAATTTGGTTGGAACTATTGGTGCTTATAACCAACGTAATTGGTTGAAGTAACCAAAAAACTGTATTGCGATTGATCACCCAGAAATTAGTTCTCACAACCAATGACCGTAGCTAGTTTAACCAAGTTCTTGGTGAATTAAAAAGCATGGCTGCACTGCAGTCGAAGACTGAACGTGCTAACGTACGGATGTCGTTGCGTCGTCGTTGACGATTTTTCTCATCGACGTCGTGTGCGGGTTATCGGTCGCGGTGAAACGCGAGCGGTAAGTAGTATAGTAATGCTAATTCGAAGCCATGGTGCTTGCGCGGGGGTACAGGGCCAGGGAATCCCCGCGCCGCTGAGATCCCCCTTCCCGCCGAGATTTCCTCGCCCTGCACAATGGCTTCGAATTGATATTGCTATACTGTTGCAGTAAACCCTTCGGCAGTGAGTTTCTCGGTCGTGTCCCGATAACTGCGTGTTCGCGATATCAGGGTGTGAGGTATCTTGGAGAACGGGAGCGCGGCGGGAATCGCCGACGGACTCGCGAAATCCTTCATCAACCTAACCTAATCTTCAGCACGCGGCGGCCAGCGGAGAATCTACGTCCCGGATTCCGGCGACGCTCGCGAGCCCCGAGGGGTTCGTCGACTTTTTCCGCGCGCTCGGCGGTCGACTTCATAAATATTGGACACGAATACGCGCCACATACGTACGCCGCCGTCCCGACCGCGAAAGGACGGACGAGGCCGCGAGGGAAGAAATAGGGGAAGTCGCGGCTTGATAGCCGCGGATCGCGCTGAGGTGAATTATGAGCATGCGACGTTCTCCAGCGCGCCGTCATCGTCACCGTCATCATCATCGTCGTGATCACTGTCCCGCGATCGCCGGTTGCTTCGCCGTAATCGAAAACTTTTTACACAAGTGCATCGACCGCGCGAATCTTCGTCGTCGTCATCGTCATCGTCACCGTCTTCACCGTCGTCGCAGTGCAATGATGGAAGAAAGTGTGGCGGATTTATTGAAAAATTGGGGATTTGAGAAATTTGTCTCAATATTTGAAGGTAAGTTCTGTTGCATTTATACTATTAAATTAGATTTTTAATTAATAAGTTTTGCAAAGCGTGAATTGTCTGCATCGTGTGAAATTTCCATTTATTTTTTCCGTGCATGGCGCACATAATAACCTATATAATAGACTTATCTGGCCAACGTCTGCGTTCGCATCCTTGCACTAGCTAAATCTACAATGTGCTTTTTGCTTCCTGTTTTCTGCTCTTAACTTCTTTGCGATTATCTCGTATTTCGCAATTCCGTTGCGTAACGTGATGTTTCTTGTCTCTTCTAAAGTTGGTCAATTTTTATCTTGGACGACAAAGATAATCGCAAAGATGTTTAGAACACAAAACAAGAAGCAAAGAGCACATTGTATATTTGGCTTATTATTGTTGCCACTTGTCCATGACTGTACTACACTTCTCACAAAAATTAAAAAAACACTAAATTTATCTTTAAAAATAGGCAAAATTTAAGCAGCTGTAACTTTGTTAAAAATAAACAAAATTTAAATTAAAAAAAAAGATTTTGAAGCTTGAAATCTCTATTTTTGAAAGGTTACTATTATCTTTTAGTTTCTGTGAGTTTGATAATTTTTACATATAAAAAACTACGAGTTGGACAAAATAGAAAATTTTTCTCTCACTTTGTAGGCCTGTCACGTTCAAAAAAAAAATCTGTGAAAATTTTCGACTTCCTAACGTGAAAGCTTAAAGTTTTTCTTGCAAAATCTTTTTTTAAAACTGTTTCTACGATTTTTTGTTATTAAGTTATCGTGGATACCACAAAATAAGAGAAAAATTTTCTATTTTGTCCAGCTCGTAGTTTTTTATATGTAAAAATTATCAAACTCACAGAAACTAAAAACCAATAGTAACGTTTCGAAAGTAGAGATTTTAAGCTTTAAAATCCTTTTTTTAAATTTAAATTTTGTTTATTTTTAACAAAGTTACAGCTGTTTGAATTTTACCTATTTTTAAAGATAAATTTAGTGTTCCTTTAATTTTTGTGAGAAGTGTATTTGAAGTTACATATTTAATTTAAAGTTAACATAATTGGACGAAATCCGTGTGTACACTTTAGTCCTCTTCTTATTAGATGACACATGTAATGCTACACTTCTTTTTTTTTACATTTATCAAGAAATCACAGGTACTCATGAATGATAAGATTTCATAAAAAATATTATTGTAAACTGTTTAAATCTTATACTTTATTGTTTGTATCTTCTTACTTATTAAATAATTTCTGACAGAGAATGAGGTTAATATGGATGCGATGAAGGTGATGACTCATGAAGATGTAGTTTCATTAATCTCCAAAACTGGCCCTAGAATAAAGTTTTGGTCAAAGTTACAAGAGTGGCAATCCAGAAATAAAAACGCGGTATTACTGAAAATTTATGCTCCTACATTTTTATATCCAATAGTGACAGAGAGTAATAAGCCTGCATGAACTTATTTTTTAACACTATACTATTCCTTTAATCCTCTGTATTGTATATTACCTACACATGCTCATATTAGAGGTTTCATGACGATAAAGCATCTAGCATGTACTAATTTTCCCAGCGAAGTATAAATACTTTTCATTTTATGCATGTTAGTTCTATTGTATATTGTATTTTATGATGATGGTTCATATCCACATAGATTCTGATACTTAATTTATTACAGATTGCTATAAATACTAGTACCGACATAGAATCTTTGCCAACGAACCCGGTGATGGGAAATGAAATATGCATGCCTGATGCGAAAGATCTTTTTGAACAACACCCAACATTGGAATTGCCTATCGAAATCAAAGATCTCGATTTAATAATACCATCGACATCACAACAGCAGGCAAACTCTGCAGATATTATTATTATCGATATTGAAAAAACATCTGAAGAGCAAACTCCCGTCGTCCAGTGCAAAAGAAACTTAAAAAATGTATGAGATTATTTACCCCAGAAAAGTGCTCAAACCTACCTAACAATTTTAAAAAAGTATTCGTCCACTGCAGTTTTCTTAACATTAAAATTTGAAAAAAATATTGTTGCGCTAGTAATTAACTTGTCTGAAATTATTTTTATTTTGATAGATGAGTCACCAGTCACAATTTTGCATAAGTTTGCTAAACTTTTTGAGCCAGTAATACTGAATGCACGAATTGACAAATTCAAGACGCGGCCGACTAGAGCAGAAATTGCGGAAGGATTGGTATTGCACGTAAAGGTATGTAAGGTTCTTACATTTTTTAACATTAACCCTTCCAACGTATTTTCTGGTCCTCACATTAGTCCTCCAGCCATGCACTTTCGTATCCCACCGAGATTTTGATTGTTCGCCGTTTCGAGAGTAAATGAGCTAGGACTTTGAAATTTCTACCTGATGTTCCCTACTATAACAACTTTGTTTAGGAGTAGGGGGATTATCTGACAATCATTTGTTTTCCGGAACAAACGACTGTTAGAATCTCATGGGACACGAAAGGGCGGGTTGGAAGGATTAGTGTTAATATGTTGAAACTATTTTTGTCTTTACTACATGTATTTTGAATTTCATCATGTGTTATAGGTTATTGACGATTTGATGCCAGCAATTAACCGCATGCGCTTGAAAGCTGAGCAGCTAAAAACAACATTGCAACCCCTGGCGGCAGTTGTTGGCCTCACTCCGCAAAATATAACTGCATCGTAGGTTGCAATAGACGACATTTTATACAAGCTGGACAGTCCATTACGAGCCGTCAATGTCTGCTTTAAGTGCATTCATGCCTTACATGCACAGTACCCAGTGCAAAGTGAACGCCCGTGGTTGGTACTACAGCAGATCATTTATGACATCTACACGCCGTGGGACGCTCAGATTCCTGTTGTGATACAAATGTGTAAGAAGTTTGCACTCGCGTAATACGAAGTACAATTTTAAAGACTGTTGTATAATATAGATTATAAAGATATAGATATAGATATAAATTATAATATAGATTATAAAGAGTTATATAAACTGCGTTAATTGGTATGTTTAGTCGTTGATAGTCTCCCGTCGGGCTGTATAGATTAGGTTAGGTCCTCATTGCAGATCATTGGTTAAAACACAAGCCGCTAAAATGCCGCATTGCACAGAATGTGGCCTTCTCGTGCTGTCGGTACAAGCTCTTCAGATACACAATACAATTGTGCATAACTTATCTAACTCTGCAGTATTTAGATGTAAAGAAAATGATTGTTTCCGCGATTTTACAACGTGGAATGCATTCAAGAAACATTTACTTTTCGCGCACAGCTGTTTTTTAAAAACTCCATCCCAGGAACGACATTGTAGAGACCGTTCTAAAGAGCCCGAAATAGGGAATGCAGACTACGATGAACCTATCATTGATGATTCTGCTATTGCAGCACATAAATTTTGGGAATCGCCATCCGATTCTATGCAAAGCGCTAATTCCACATACTCCCGACGGAATATAACGTATACTCTCGCTTTGAAAGAAACTTTTAGATTATTTTTTAGACAGCTGTGCGAGCGAGGACTTGTTTCAAAATTTGAGGTAGGACCTCATAGTCTTATGGACCAAATATGCCTTGAGGAAATTGCAAACTCATTACCGGCTGTAGAATTCCAAATTAATACTTATATCAACGTGCCGTGGGTAATTTCGAAGGGTATTTCGTACAAATTAAATACCTGCCTAGTTCTGAAACTTGATTTGGATGAGATACCTGTTTTCGGCATTATTAAAACAATTATCTGCAATGAGGATAAAAAAGTAATCGTTCAATGCAACATGTGCACAAACGTTGGATTTAATGAAAACCTTTATTCCTATGAAATAATTAGTACAAATAATTACAAATTCTTTCAACTTGACACATTGTTGACTAATTTTCCATGTATTCTGCACCGAATGGCAAGCGGTCAATTATTTGTCACATTAAAATATGTAATTTAAATAAATAAATAAATACTAAATACTTTATAAATATTTTCATAATTATATAGGTAACAACAGAACCCGTAATTAACTAGAAAATTATACATTTTTATGTGAAATATTTTTTATAGCTCAGTTTATCCGTGAAAATATTTTTTCTTATATAATAAGAAAAAATATTTTAACGGATAAACTGAGCTACAAAAAATATTTCATATAAAAATGCATAATTTTCTAGTGCTTCGATCTATTAATTTCACCAATACAGATGGTTAAATTAACTACGGCCGTTGGTTGCATCAGTCATAACAGTTGGTTCCATCAACCAACTAACTTGGTAAAATCAACAAAAACAATAGGTTAGAGCAACCAAGTGACGCCTGAGGTTTTACCAATATCTTTTGGATGGTCCAACCAAGTACTATGGTTGCTCCAACTACGGCAGTCTAACCAAGTGCCGTTGGTATATGTAACCAAGATATCAGTTGTCTTATATATAATCAAGGCACTTGGTCGAGGCGACCATTTTTTTGGTTATCTCAACCAAGTCTTTTTTTCCGTGCAGATAAAAGCATCACAAGATCGTTGTTGCGTATATCGCGTTAATATATCCATAAATACGAAGGTGGTTTACCTTGGACGTATAATAGAAAAACCGAGGAAAACATAAAGTTATATTATTACATTCTATAATAATATTTTATATATTTTTGATTACAAAAATCAATTTTTTATATTAATAAAAGCTTAAATATTTAATACACATATATCAGTATTTAATAATATATAGCTATAAATATTAACTGCATTCGACTTTCTACTACAATGTAACGCTGCTGCATTATTTTATCTTGATAACTTACTTTTATTTTACGAAAAATTCGCATAGGTTTCAAAGTACTCCAAATATGTAACTGCAGCATCGTATAGATATTCCAGATGTTCCTAGATATGAAATAAAATTTTTCAATGTTCATATCGAAAAAAGACGTTATATATTGCCAGTCACGGTCGATTTAAATTACTTTAATAAAATTTTTCATTTGAGTATATTTTTTTAAGTTTCCTCTAATTTTTTTGTTTTATAATAGAGATAATTAAAATTTTTTATTAATAAGATTTTTAATTTCTCTTTCTGTTGCTATGAAATTGATACATTACCAGAGAACGAACAAAATCTGATCTCGATCGTCTAACAGCTCGCACCGCCAAACAAACATCGCATTCTCTTTCGACGGCCATTCGTTCCAACAGAAAACTCAGTGCCAGATAAAGACCACATCCAGTTACTCCATCACTGAAAGATTATTGTTTTATTTTTTTGTAATATTTTGTAAAATATTTCTTAAAAAATATAAATTCAAAAATATCATTTAAAAAAATTCTGCGATTGTTATTTATTATCGAATAATTATTTGTTTGAATCATAACAGACTTTCTTTGAGTTTGGAATAATAAGTTTTTATTTTTACTGGCAAAGCGTGACAGTGGGCCCATCGCCTCTAGCAATTCTCTCCGCAGCTTGCCAAAAGGTCACCATCGTCATAACCGGCGGTGGTGGTTGATCCCTTCCAGGTTTCCACTCCGTCAAACACAAGATAGTAACAGATTGATCTCTCGAAGGTTTCTGTGACAAAGTGTCATGCTGAGTAAATAATAGCAAATAAAAACTGTCGAATTGTCGCATTGAATTGATCTACCTCCGAATTATCAACGAGCAACAATTTTTGTGACGTATAGTATTCCAACTCCACAGCTTCCTTCACTGTGATATTCAAATATGGGATTGGTTTAAACTCGCCGCTTGCGGGAGCGATGGCGCAGCAAGTCTAAAAAATCAATTATTATTTCAAAAATATATAATTGTGTGGGCACAAAAATATTTATGTAGATTAATTACTATGAATTTAATATATGTGTTTTACATAGTCTCTGCAAATGCGTTCTTCCTCTCTTTCTCTCATAAATACGTGTTGAATTCATATATATGTAGAAAAATTAATGTAAGAAACGCACGTACAGAATCCTGAAAATCAGGCGGCTGCAGCATGAGAATAAGTTCAACTTTGAACTCGGCAATCATCCGCCAGAAATCATTAATCGTAGATGGCATGGGAAGCTGCGTGGCTAGATACTGATTCTGAAGTTTTACTCCGTCTACGTAAACGGCAGATAGATAATCGCTGTCCTCGTCCGATGTCGGGTATCTCTTTAAATATATTCTGCTGACCTTATCTGTAAAATAAAATTAATCCTTTCTAAATGTATCTGGTATATCTATTATCTCAAATATTTATTGTAAACTACATAAAATATTAACTTACTTTCTTGATTTTTACTTTTACTATAACACACCCAAAAAAAAATATTCTGCCGATAAGTGGGGAATTCCTCTTAGCAGTTCCTCTAAGCAAAAAAACATTATATGAAGAATATCCTTCTTTAAGTAATACGTATTACTTTATAAATGAGTGGATGCGTAAGCTATAATCAAGAGTAAATTCCTCTACAGTAAATTCAACTATTAGCCTCTTAAAATAAGAGGATATGCTAGATATTTGCGGCGCGCGCGTTAAAGTTAAAAGACGATCGTCTTATTAGCTACGCGATGCGTACGCTACCACACGAGACGCCCGTGTAGAAAGTTCAGCCCCTTGCACAATGCCAGGCAACAGGCAATAGGAACAGGAAATAATAAAAAATCGTTAATTACAACCTAAAATATTCGAATGTTATGATTTGTTGGCAACAGGCAATAGACACATAATTTCCAACGTGACGGAAACTCCTGTGTCTATTGCCTGTGTCACTGTTTATTCTGCATTTATATACATTGATTTCTGATTTTTATTCCCTGTTCCTATTGCCTGTTGTCTTTATTAAGAATGGCCTTATATAACATAAGTCCTCGATCATTAGTTATATATTAGGGATGCCATAAGAAAGATTTCCTTATTTTAACCTGATGAGGTCCCTATCATTATTTATTAGGGATTCCATAAGAAAGGTTTCCTTATTTTTATCTAATAAGGTCCTTGTAAGGATTTGATAAGGATGTTTTAACTTCATAAATACTTATTTATTAGGGCTAACCGGATAAGGTCCCGATCATTATTTATTAGGGATGCCATAAGAAACGTTTTCTTATTTTTGTCTATTGAGGCCCTTGTAAGGATTTGATAAGAATGTTTTAACGTTTTAACTTTATAAACATATTATTTTCATAAATATATTTACGAACACAAAATTTCATAATAAGCCGGCACTGGTTTCTGACATTCACCCGACATTAAGAAATATTATATCATATATCTTATATCCAATTCAAAATTTTATTACTCTTTTTAAACTGAATTTGTTTATTAAGATGATTTTTGGAAAATTATATATTTCCGCTGGTTATGTAGACAATATATAACACTTACATCAAATTAAGAAGTGGTCTACCATGTAAGGCAGTTGGCTCACGATCCAGAGGTCCCGAGTTCGATCCCACCAAGGTAAGTGTTTTTTCCAATACAAAAAATATTTATAATCATAGACTACATCTTAAGAAACAAATTTAGTTATAAAATAGTAATAAAATTTCAAAATAAATAATTTTTTTTATTTATTTCGGGTGAATATCGGAAATCAATGTCCTCTAATATTAAGAGGATTGCACAATCTTGAATCTAGAGTCTCATGATTAGAGGATATTCCTCTACAGTTTAAAACATCTTCTTAAGGCCCTATTTCAGAGGAAAATCCTCTAGCATGAACCAGGAACCGCTAAACTGCAGAATATTTTTTTTTGGGTGCATTACTCAAAATTTGGAATTTTAAAGGCTTATAAAATAAAATTCCATATAATTGAAATTCCATATAATTAAAATACACGAACAAACCTGAAATTAATTCCGGAAATCTGTTTTTGGCTCGATTACGCTCCGACAACGACGGTGGAGACGTGACTGGTCGCAAGGCTTCGTCTTGCCACGCAGTGTTCTGTAATCTAATTTTTATGGCATAATGTACTTTTGTAACATCATATTAATTGTCTCAAGGATAAATATAAATCAAAGTCGAGTTTTTCAGAAGTACCTTTGCTGTTGAACAGGTAAATGTTTCTTTAACTCTTTGATTCGTGTCAGCAACGTCTCGTTACACGGCAATGTGGTTGGAACCGAAAGCAAACATTCCACTAATGCCAAATGCGCTAGCAGATATTGCTGTTTATTATCCACCATATTAGCTCTTTCGTTTCTAATAGACGCCGTTTCGGCAAAAACATCGACCACCTAAACAATTTTATTCGCAATGAGATGATTATATTTTACGTAGTCTATGTATTAAAATGAATATTGGATACAGTTAAATAATGTAAATGACGTTACTGAAGCGGTAAATAAATGTCATTATTACCCCCTCTGCCGCTGCTCGATGGAGGCAAATGTCACACAAAATAATAGTCCCGGTTCTTCCAACGCCAGCACTGCAATGGACCACCACGGGTCCGTTTCCAGGTGGTGTCGCCAACAGTTTCTTCAAGTATGTGACTACGGAGTGCGTGTATAACGGCACGCCATGGTCCGGCCAAGCAGTATAATGTAGATGTTCTATCTGTTATTGAAATACATTACTTCATAGAAGCTATTACGTTCAGTTAATTAAAAATATTAGTACCTTTCGTGTTTCCTCTCCACAAGTGACGTTGAAAGTTCTAAAGCAATAATCAGCGAAGACATTGTGCTTCGCGTTTAGCACAATAATGTCGCCGTATTTCTTCTTTTTGCCAATATCCGGCCAATATTGCTCGCACTTTGTCTGTAAAAATTAAAGTATTTATGCAAAAGGCTAACAATTTAATAAACAAAAATCTTACTTTCCCACTTTCGATCACATTTGCCAACATGCAAATAATAAGAACGTTTTCCTGCCAAATCATGCGCCAGAAATCGATGACGGTGTTGGGTTTGGGTCCTTGTGTCGCTATGTAACGTTTCTCCTTTTTATAGCCCTTTTTAAATAATTATAAGCCAAATTTAAAAATTATCATTAGATAATATCATGTAACTATGCAGAAATATAATTAAAAAATTAACATATTAAAACTAAGGTACTTATGTATATCAGAACTTACGGTGATGTAATTAGCGTTGATGTAATCGGAGTGAGCGTCATCCGGAAGTTTCTTCAATACCACGCGCGTTTCGTCATCTGTACGAATCAGCGTGATATAACTCGTTATTGCACAAGTATAAACAGCCAATTTTTTACTTACATGCAATAAGATTTCCGTATCGATTCTTAGATTTATTCTGCGGCAATTTCCCATAATCCCATGGCCGAGTTTGCCCTCTTGGGAACGTCTCGTGAAAAGATTGCAAAATATTCTTATTGTATTGTTATATAATTATAAGTCTCTAGGTCTAGGCATATGATTATAATAGCAATCATTATAATTATATAAAGTTAGAAAAATAATTTCGTTCTCCGCAAATGTTATATTTTAAAGACACAATTCGTGTATATTAAAGATTTTGCGTTACTTAATTCGACGTAAATGTCAATTAAGTTCTCAGAGAAATCCCTAAAAGAATTTTGATAATTCAAGAGTTAAAATTAAAAGTTCGAGAACTCACCTCGTACTGCTTATCGAGTAATCCTGATTGTATCGTCTGTCTTACATAATCTTCGAAATCTTTCACCTTTACTAGCGATGTTATTTCTTCTCCCTTTTCGTCATTCTTCGCGATGGCGATCGGCAGCACTTCCGGAGTGGTTGCCCGCGATAGAGATTGTCTGTCAGAAGGAGTTGACAAATCTTGCTTTGAATTCGATATCACGTACTTTGTTTCTTGTTCGTAGTTCTCGATATTCTGTGACAAAACCATCTCGTCTTGCATTAGCTGCTTAGACAATTTTTCCCTTTTTCTGTAAAATAGAAATCATATGTCGGATTGACGTAAAATAAATGTAAAATTAATCTGCAATTCATTGAAATTTTATTTGTGATATTAGCAGATAGTTTTGTCTAAAGTGCTTACACGACAAATATTAATAAATATGGTTATAGGCAATATTACTCTATCTTCTAAAAAAAATCGAAGAACACTACCTTTGATACAGGTAATAAACTGCGCCTGCCACAACGAGGAATAATATAATGGGTATGATCCACAATTCGTGATGTTTCGGCGGAACCTCACCGACGGGGATGTCGGATTTCGTAAGAATGATTGGCGCGGTAGACGAATTTTGTTCGGTTACGATAATCGCTATGTCATAAGACTCTTCAGGTTTTAAGGGACAATTCCTCACATTGCCGTAAATTTTATTGTCGCCGATACTAAATCGCATGCCAGCGAGTTCTCTGGTCTGTCACAATTAAAAACATAGGTATATGATTCCAAAGCTACATATTAAGATTGTTGCTACTACTGCAGTAATGATTTATGTAATCTATTAGTCTTATATTAATCACGCATGAAAAACATTTTTATAGCTAGCTGTGTTTTCGCCGCTAGATTTATTATTTAATCATTATTGTGAATTTATTCATCGTAAAATATTCACGCATAGAATTTGCGAATATTTTGTACATGTACCGAAACTTGTGCAGCTTGCCAAGCGATTTCGTCCATCTTCACGCCTGCTAGCGCTCGCAGATTCTCAGGTACTTCCGAATATTGCTCGCAGAGATTAGGACCCTTTACAATGATGTGCATCGTGCTGTCTTGAGTGTCGTTTAAGACAGACGGTATATTTAATAAAATCGTGGAATCGAATTTGTCTACCATAACTTTTAGAGCGCCTTCAAAGACTGCGGTTGAAGGCGTATGGATTTCCACAAAATTTTCTCTGCTAGACTTGTATTCAACTGTCACAGCTTGAATATAGATGACGTATTGCGTTGACGACAATAAGTACAATTGTTTAGTATAGTTACGCATGTATTGTGTCACTGGGTATTCGAGTATTACATCAGTGGACGATCGGGAAATGCGCCTTTTCAGGTTTGAGGAAGTTTCTTTTATCCGTATACGAAAACACCTCAGATGACCACCTGTCTTCCAGGGATGGAGCCACTTTAAATCAACCACGCTGTTATTGTTGACTGTAAATGTATAATTCCCAGGTGCGTCCGGCGCTAAAATATATACATCAGAACAATAATTATATTTATTTTATGTTTTGAGAAATTTCTAAGAAGCCACTAAATTATTGTTTATTGCACGTAACACAGATTAAACAGCTATAACGAGAATAGAGAAGATTTTAGCATTTTTTGTAGGTCATATATGTAGTATTAGGTGTTCAAGGCAAAGATATGTTATAGTCGCAGCGAAAAAAAAAAAGAAGCAAAAGATAATAAAATATAATAAAATATATTGTGTTATAATTTTTAATTAGTTTTGATTTCAAGAAAATTCATAATGTATTAAGCTTTAATAAGTTGTTTCAAAATTATTTATTAAAATTTTTACTTGTATTACGAAGCATATCGCCAGTTGCGAAAACTGCAAGGCCTGGTTGCGTAACGTTTACATTGTACGCTACAACCTACAATATTTTGTATTACGCAATTTTTATATATATAATTTTTCTTGTCTATTACATTATAATTTACATACATAAATTAATAACGTTTACTAGACGTATCGAAAATAATACACAGAATTTAATATTATTTTACCTTAATTTCAGGAAATTTTTTAACAATTTTACATAATTTACATATGTAATCATCCCACAAGTCACAAGACTCATTGATTTGAACTTGAACAACTGAGCAATACCGGCTATTTTTGTTACAAAACTGGACATCATAATTACGCAATATTCCATTGAGAGGTGGAAGTGGACTTTGCCATCTTAGGTGTATCATAGCAGGCGTTTGACGAGTATCAATCTCGACAACCTCAAAATTTGTTACTCTGGGCGGCGCTATTAATTTGATTCGTTATAGTTATAGAAAAAATTATCAATTATTAAAAACTGTTAAAATGATCATTATATTAATAATAACATGGTTTACCTGCCGGCGGAGTTTCAAACTCGCATTGTTGATAAGCGGATGCATTTTCTTTGCTCCCATACTTTCTTATTACATAAACTGTTGCCATATATCGTTCAAAAGGATTTAATTGATTTAACTCGAGTTTACTGTTTTGAGTCTGCTTCGTCAGGTTGTAGTTTTGAACAACGTTGCTAATACCGTGTATTTTTATTCTCGCTATTAATGGTCCTGAAATTGTAGTGCAATCTTCGGGCGGACGCCATAACAAGTTCCAACCTTCTACTCTCAACTGACTAAATACTTCTGATGGTATCTCTATAAAATATATCGTTAATTCTTATTTTTTGTGTGATAAACTTTTATATGTGTAATTTAGATATCCAGTATATTACCAAAAACATTATTAGAGATTAATAAACAATTAATTATACGAATTAGCCAGCGTTCTCTCTGTAATATTGACGATAATTCTAATAAATAATGTAATGTACATATACCAGATTGTATTGTATTAAAGATTGTCTCTGCAATTGCGCTGGAATGTCGTGAGTTATGAACTATAACCTGCGCACTATACAATGTGTATGGATGTAAGTCTGGAATTGTGATCGTTGGCTCTGTTGTAAATTTTGTAATAATGTGATTATTCGGCGTAGGTAATTTTAAATCCTTACAACCGTAGTATTCTATAACCTGGAATTAATATAAAATATCTGCATATAAAGTCAAAGCACATAAAGATGAAATATCTAATATCGTAATTAAAAATATATAGTTAAAATTAAATGTGTACGTGCGATCTTTTAACGATACCGCACGATATAATATTGTAGGATTCTATCGGACGTAAGATAAAACAAGATTGAAATTTAAAATTTAGTAATTTTATTTGGTTTTGATAAATTATTAATTTTTTTTGTATATACATATATATATATATATATAATTTTATTACCTTCAATATTATTTCATATTGAACAATTTCTCCGTTCGGTTTATTTGGAGGCCTCCAAATTAGAGTGAGATTTGTATTAGCTGATAACATTTTTGTCAGATCTACCACATTAGATGGAACTGTGGATATTTATAAAAAATATTTATTATCTACACATGTATATGTGCAACGATAAATTTATGTGCAAACAAACGCCTTTTTGAAATGTTTTTAACGTATAATCGAACTTACCACCTTCAAGTGTACGAATTTCCTTCGAAAATAATTTTTTATTATTATGAAATATGGTCACATCAAAAGAAGTGTATGACGGCAAATCTTGCAATTTATATGGGAAAAACGAAGCTGATTTATAAAGTATGTTCTCACTCATTTCTATATTGCGTACTTTCAGCAAATACCAATTTGCCGGACATGAATATAATTGCTATGAGAAGAAAAGAAAACAAAGATAAATTTTATTCAATTCGAAATACTATGCGAAATACTAAAATGTGCAAATGCAATTATATATAAAAATTAAAAGATATCTGAACCTAGATCTTTAACATAAAACATCTACATACGTTTGAATTGATTTGCCAGTCAATTATCATGCCATTTTCTTCGGAAGTTACATCAAAGTTTTCAGCCGCTATATTATTGTGCAAAGAATCATTAGAGCAAATCTTATATTATTTGTAGAACTAGATAAAGAAACTAAAATATTTTATTATGCGTTTAACAATAATAACAAAGATGTAACAAATTTTCTATATGCAATAAGATATTTTCAATGTTTTTTTGGTTGTCTTGCACATATTACGTAAAATTGAAATTATAAATATAATAAAGTTATTGATAATAAGTCATGAGATCAAAAGTTTTGAAATAATTGTCATTAGAATAGTAATAAATTAATTAACAAATTATATATAATAAAACATTGTATAAACTAAATAAATATTGACTCACGATTGCACTTAGTTTCGGCTACTTGCCAATCACTATATACTTGCACACCAGCAATATCTAAGCTGATACCGACATGATACGTAGTTCCAGGTTTTACATTCTCAAAATAAGTTGTCAATTGTGTCATATTTCGAAATAGTTTGTTCCACGATTGCTGATATTCTATTTGTTCCTGTAAAAATGTATCATAAACTTGATCTCTTTATTTTCTTTTATTATCAAACATTTAGCGACATTCAGATATTTGTTTTCATTGCAAATTTTATTTAATTATTAGCAATTTATAGAATAATTTTTTAATATTAATTTAAATATTAATCAAAGAATATTATAAAAATGATATTAAATTGTTACTTGAATGAAAAAAGAATATAAAATCGATATTTTTTCATATTCGTCCTTCCATGTTATAGGGACTGTAGCCAAAATGGTCGTCTCGTTTGTAAAGATCGTAGATACATTAGGTTTGTCTACGCCTGTAAAATAATTAATATATTTATACTTTTCTCTAACTATGAGAGATATTTGTTTGATAAGTACAATTAAAAGCATGCTAATTTTCATATAAGAGATTGTTACTTGTTTGACATAAAGGTGGTATGTAAATTCCTCTAGCAATGTCGCAACCATTAGGACAAACTCCAGTTACTTTATTACATTGTTTGTAAAGACATGAGCCGCATGTCTCTTTGCAGCCATGACCATACGTATGCGATGCACAAGCTGAAAGCTCGAATATTAAATGTTCGAATATTTTATACGTAAAAGTAAAATTAATACTATTCGGCATTAGGAATTACTTACGTATAGAACATGTATCTCCTGAGTAACCCGGAGCACACGTACAACCATTTTCGTAACAAATTTCGGTTTCTCGACAATCATAGTAACTATGTAGGTCATATTCACAGGAAGACAAACATTGCGGTCCAATTTTTCCTTCAGGACAATTTACGTCATCTGAAAAAAATTATATGTATTTTAAAATAATATCTTTAGCTTGCCATATGTTAAAAATGTAATCAGTAAAACTGCGACTTTACTTATTTCAGTTACGCAACATAACAATTGTTAATACATACCTAGATTTATATCCGGTTTAACGCGCGATAAAGGATTCACAACAGTGCGTTCATGATAAAATATTTTTTGACATGTCACATTCGGCCAAAAATAGTGAGAATCGTACCAATCTTGATTAGTAATCATAGCACCTTTTCTCAAAGCTTCTAAGAAATAATGGAACAAATTATACATTCAAAAAGATAAATTGTTGGAGGACTTTTACAATTATTTAACAAACGTGCAAAGCACGTAATTGGTAATTAGCATTAATAACAGTCCAAATAATCTAATAAGAAAATAAAAAATTACGAGATTCGCACCATTTTGGGGGCATTCACGAACGTTCGCTATCGCCCATAACGGATTCAAGCTTTGCTCATTGAGTTTAGGAATCAGTTGAATTATAACCTTATTATAACTATTATAATCGGTTGCTGAAATATTTGTCGTGATTTTAACAGATTGCCACATAGGTAAATTATGAACCCTGGTTCTCGATGTTCCTTTTACTATTACCATTACCAATTCTTTATCGTTAGTGAAATCACGCAACACTATATGTGCATCGCATTCGATGCAGAGACCAACTAACAATTGTACGCATATCATTTTGTTATTAAATTGGAAGGCGGGACTTGTTAAGACTGCACTCTCGACAGTTGTATGCAGAAAGTCATCTGAAAAAAAAACATGTTTTTATATAATTTGTTTTTCGTTACTTGATACTGAATTTAAAAATAATTTTGACACAAATTAATCAAAATCTGTACTCACATATATGAAATCGATATAACATCGTTGTGGGACTTCTAATGAACATGTAATAATTATTATGTGAGTGTAAGCTATTTCTTTCCTCGTCTGTATAAGTCATAATAATCTTATCAGTATCATAAACAATTATTTTTCTCATCGCAGAGTTCCATGTAATAATAAACGATCTCCATTCACTTTCAGACAATGGTATGTGCTGCATTAATTATGAAGTTATTTAATATGCGACATAAATATCTTGCGACAATTTTTGCCGATTTAGCATAAGGTGAGTATTTTAAAACTAATTGTATCATTTACTCTATTACGTCAACTATGATCGTTTAAAAATTATCTCAGTTTTAATCTCACGTTTTTTAGACTTGATTTATTGTGAGTATATTGCACATCTCTTTGCCGGTTAATTCTAATTCTTATTTCTATAGTCTGAATATTTTGTAGATTATAAATATCTGCAGAATTTTTCTGTTACTATTTCTTGAATATTACACTATCTTTATACATTTAATTTTTCAATACTTATCTTATATGCTTGTCGGTAACTTAAGATTACTTAATTTATCTATCACTTCGTCGCTGTACGTGGCTTCAAGCTTTTAGAGCCAAAACGTATGATTTACAATTTGTATTAAATTATTAATTAAATGTTACATAGCATAAACTTATGCACAACTAACTACGTTTGACTCTCAAAGTCCACTTTTTCATGTAACTCGTTAATTTTAATATTGAGAGTCTTTAATTAATTAATCATTTACGTTTTTACTATACGTAATATGTAGAAACGATGCTTTAAATTATAGGAGAAGCATAATGTATATCTATTTACCTCGATGCAGTCTAGTGCTTTAACGCAATCTGAACCTTTTTTGGGATATTCTCCAGGTATTGGCACTCCCTTCACACATTTTCGTATGACGGACTTTGTGTTGCCCCAACCTCCTATTATAATCCAATAGCAAGGATCTCTGTTATAATTTTTGCCGTTGCAAATTATTATGTGTACATCGCGGGATACACGAACCGAAAATGAGACCTTTACATCGGTAGTTAAATCAAAATTTACATCATTATAGGTATCTTGAAGAGTGTTATATTGTTTAAATTCTGAAAATATTAAATGTAAGTTATTTGAAACTATCATAAAAGTATATTTTAATTGTTTGTATTATTATAATGCATTTTATATCACAAATTTTTGTCAAACTGCGAGGCTTTTACCTTCCCATCGTTGATCGAATACCGGACCCATAGGTGTTTTAAAAGAATTTGTAAAACTCCAGTTGTTTTTAGTCCATGACTCCAAGCAATTTTCGTTCGCGTTCATTTTGCAATCTATCTCATTATTTATGAATTTATTTAAATCCTGAAACTCTGAAGTAATGCGCTCGTTTATAATAAATGCATGCATTGCTGATTAATGTAAAAATAATTAAATGTTTTATGACTAAGTCTATGTACGTAAGTATTTGATAAGGATTTTAGATTTAACAAGAATTTTAATACACATGTAAAAAAATAATATTATACTTTTAATTGTATTTTGCTTTTCAAGCTGTAAAAATACTTATTTTAATTGTGATTTAATTGTGATTTTAATTGTGAATAAGACTTACTAAAATCGTTTTCTTCTGCATTATAATATTGCCAGATTAAATTGTAGTTCCACACAAGAGCTCCGCCATCATCCTCTGAGAGGCATATCAATTTCACTTTGCTGGGATTGTACGAAAATAACGATCCACGCAATACGGTAACTTTTCCGAAAATATGCAACATCTGACTCGCGAAGATAAAGAACGCGAAGATAATTAGTGCATTCATTGACGCTTTTTTCATTGTTAATGAAAATATGCAGCTCTTCGTAAGACTAACGAGTATCAAAATGGAAGTAGATTAAACAACATAACAAACTAAATATTATATATCTAATTAATTACGTTATTTCATATAGTGTCACTTCAACAAAATTTTCACCGAGTGGGCTCTAATGATACAGTCCTGCCCATCGTGCAATGCACTATACATTTAAATAAAATAATCCGCGTGAACAAATCACTTTCCTTTATTTGAAGACAGTTTGCACTTCAGTCACTACAAGTCAATTTAAATGATGAAATAATAAGAGAATTACATTTTTGTCGAAACATTTTGTATTGTGTTCGTATGCACTGTTTAGTCTGTCGGACGACATGCAATAACTGGTAGAAAGGAACTCGACTTCCTTCTAGTAAATCCGCGATAACAGATTCCGTATCTACCGAAAGCGCCTGACGCATCAGGAAATAACGATTCCACAGGATGTCTATACATCATTTTTATATTAAACTAGAATAAATCTAATAATGCTAATAATCTGTTCTACATTACACAATTAAAAGATTACAATAGGTGAATGAAATAGTAATTAATAAAAATTAATAACTTGTGAGATAGCTTGATTTGCACGTTTACATATCATACCCCAAAAAGAATAGTGTCACAACTTAAAAATGTATAATTTTCAGGAGAGAAGAAAAATAAATTTCATTTCATTTCTTTTAATTGTGAGATAACTAACGGAATTACAATTGCGACATGTTGTTATAATGAAATTGATATTGGTTCTTGAAGAGGTCTGCTGTGATTCACTTGTAAATTCGCTTATTACACTATTCATCCAGGAAACCACAACATAACCAGTTTAAGAAAATAACATCTCTATCCTGGATTTCGCATATAGTCTTGTGACCGAGCTTGTGACACTATTATAATACATAGATAATAAATACACTTTTTATGGCTTAACTCGAAAGAATTTTGAAATTTTTTGAGTTGTTACAGTATTCTTATCGGGATGCGATATGTCAATATAAGTTTTTCTTGATAGTGATAAAACTGTATTATATATAATAACTTGATAAGACTAAGACATCTTTCAATTCTTATGTAGAGATCAAGAATATAAAATTCACATAAAGATAATACAACACATTAAATCGATTATATAAATAGATTAATTTACTACTTTTATTTACAGCGTTAAAAATTATTTCTTATAGAAATTCTAAAAACGTAGAAATATTACTAATTTAATTATTGCTTGAAGTTTAGGGGTATAAGAAAAATAAACTGCTGTTAGGTGACATAAGAAATTTAATTATTTATCTCTAATTTTAGTATAATATACAATAACTGATTATTGTATTTAATAAATGTTAGGCTTTAATATATAATATAATATAATTTTTAGACTCGCAAAATATTAACCTGACATTAGTACTTCGATTGTAACATTGCTATTCCTTTTACAATCTCTTTTCCCTGATAATTTTTGCTTCTTTGTCATGATCTTTGATGTCGCGGTGGTTACCCACAATACCAGTGTATCTCTGTAGATGTTGAAGACAATCCTTGACGCACCGCTTACCACCAGGATTTTACAATCGATACTCGCGTAGATGAGAGTCAAATTATTGCGTCGCGACGTCCCTATGCGTCAGAAAAATTTATTTAGCAGGGACAGTTCTTAGTATTTCTTTTATTTTTTTTGTAAATAAGATTTCTCGTCAAAAACAAGTTAAAATCAAGGAGTCGTGAACTCACCTCGTACTGCTTATCGAATAATCCTTTACCCCCTGTCTGACGTAATTTTCGAAACCTTTCACCTTTTCTAGTGATGTCATTTTCTTGAAAAGCTCGTGTTGCACGATCTATAATTTGTGAAAGAACTTGCGAATTCTCTGCTCATAAGTTGATACATCAACAGAGATGTTTAGCATTCTGGCTCGCCGTTTGACAGTATTATTTTTATCGATGCTAACACGGGGACATATAAATATAATTTGAATTATTCGAAATCAGTTTAAGAGCTTTAAGGTCGCATACTTTAGACTAGAAAAAATTTTATTACTTTTTTCGAAATTATTAAATCGGGTATTTTAGAAAAAGATTTTTTAAAGGAGATATTAGAAGGTTTGTTAGAAAAAAGTCATCGTATGCCGCAAAGAATGCATCCATTATTTGCTTTCAAAAACGTACTAATAGTAAATAATATAATACATATTAAATAATATATGTATAATATATGTAGAATTGAGCCAAATGAATACACGCTGTGCAATGCCGTATCTATTTAAATTGCTTTGAAAAAATTTTTATTGTATAACTCACATTGCGCATTTACTCCTATAACATTTGTAAGAGACTAAAAATATGCGTATCTTTATTTTATTTATCTTATATAAGTCGAACTAGCAATTCTTATAATATGTGCATTTATTCCTACGAGAAACATTTTAAATGTTTGAAAAACAGAAAAACTTTAGGCATGACGTATCTCCCAAAATAGAAAATCGTTATTTCAATGAGAATGTATGTGTGCGTGTGAGTATATATCATTAAAAAAAAAAAAAACTTGCGCACTAGTAGTTTGACTTGTACAAAAATACACTCGCCGTAGTATTTAGTTTCTTCGACTCGTTTAATTAACAGTTTTCAAGTCGATTTGTGTTCAATAATAACATTTATAAAAATGATTGTATAAAACAGTCGTAATAGTAGGGTCTTGCATTTTTCGGAATTTTTCGATCAATTGATCGTATTTTGCCATTTGTCGGAACTTCCGGAACGACGGTAACATCATCGCAGCCATAATACAAGAATACCTATTATCAGCCTCAATGAGGCCTTCCATGATGCTAAACGGGACTTCGTCATTTACATGGTACAACAAGTTCTTGAGAATCTCAGTCATGATCGAGATTAATACCGGCGAGAAGATATTGATTAATTCGGGCAACTGTTGACCGATTCTCAAACCAAAGGATTCCTTGCTTGAAGATTCCATACATTCTTGCAACGTTTTCGCATAGAATAACCGCAAATAAGAACTCGCATCCTGCATAGGTGACAAGTCAGATGAAAATCTCATTAGCATACAATCGATGACTTGTGAATTAATAGACGTGTCCCAATCAAAGCACGTCCGAACGTAGGCAGTGACGAAATCATTTATGAGTAAACGCACAGTTTTGTTGGTTAGACAGAAGTGTGAATTTTTAAGAGATTGAGGCACGTCCTCATTGACGAAAGATATCTTGCACAAGACATTGATTAATATTTTAGAACGCGCTGCGTGTTTGTCCATATCCCTTGGGAAAATGTGCAATATCAGAAAACGTCTCGCTCTTTCAGATACATAAGTATTGACGTGGAATAAATATCTTTGAAGTATATTCTCGACGAATTCTTCGGACAGAAGGTTGGAAACGGTTGAGTTAAACATTGCCAAATATTCAACAGTATATTTGTTTATCTTCTCGACATCTAATCCCATTTCTTGAAAATTATCTATTGTTTTGAGCCATAAATCAAGATATTTCATGACATATTCGTCGGGGATGTCACGAAACAGCTTCATTTCCGAAAAGAACCTTTCATCTTTGAGATTCAACGTCGACATGGTTTGACAATATAGGGACCAAGTTTCGGGTTTTGGCTCTGTAAGGAACAATTTCTGGACCGCTTTGAATAAAACTTGTCGTATTGAATAATGGTTCTCGGTCGTCCACGTTTTCTGGTAGAAATCCATAAGCTCGCGTATGGAAGCTATCAAGTACATTAGCCTAATCCCATGCTTTCGCACACTTACGCTCATACTTGTCAACTTTTGCGCGATTGATATCACTTTGGGCAAATAAGTCCGCCTACTTACATTCGTTAGTGTCATCAAAGGTATTGACAAGTATCTAACTCCTCCTATGCTATTGACAAGTAATCTAACGACAAGATCGAGAGGCACTGGCGGATTAGAAAGTCTCATGCTCAACGATAAACCTCGCACGAGTTTGTAGCTATCCCTGTCATCCAGATGACTAATATCTTTTGTAGGTATGAGAGGGTCGATTAGTTTTGTCACTACGTCACCGTGAAGTAGAATGGCCAGAATAGCCATGCTAGACGATATTTCGTGTACATCATGTTCATCCATGCAACATTTAGCAAATTTAATAGGTAGGTCTTTATACCAACGTATGGCCCTGATGAAGCGTTGCACCTGTTTGTGATAACAGTTCTCCTTGCAGGTTGATAAGTACTTGAACCAATCATACTCTATCTTTTGTAAGTCTCGTTTTAATAGAGCAAGCGCCGCGCCTGATCTTACGTTCGCTAATGAATATGGCTCACGAATATCGGGAAATAGTTCTGGTTCATTCAACTTTAATACGCGTATCGCATTCCAAAAGGAACCATCGCGATATAACAGGGAATCGCGCGATATACGGTCTATTACGTCTATTAGCCAAGGATAATCTCTAATTGTCATTTTTTCTATCTCGATGCGCGAACGTTTACATCTATCGTTGAAATTGTACATTGCTACGACAAATCGGCAAAACATCCCTTGTTTTAGTAGGGAATCTTCCAAATACTTTTTTTGAATGAGATTTGCGAAAGTTATAAGGCATTGTTTCTCATATTGTGGATATTCTGTGAGCATGTTGAACTTTGTATTACGTTCTAGCATTATATCGAGCAGATCCTCAATTGGCATATTATGTATACATTTGAAAAGTACTAGAGCCTCGAGTATCTCTGTCGGTATGGAATTATGTTTTATATGAAACAATTTAGCAATTTCCTCTACAAGAGAGCCCTGCTTTCTGTTTAAATGAGGTATATCATATTTTAAAAAAAGATGACATAAAATTATTTCAAGTACATGACAGCTTTCATTTTTATGTCTATTTAAGACGTATGTTAAGGTATCGGACAACGCATCGTCATCCTCATTAATCTTACAAGCGTACATCATTTGCATAATTAAATCAAGCCTATGGTTTTCATCTGCAGTTTTATTTATTGTTTCCTTGATAACTGGTATCGCTTCGTTAGCAGGTAAATAACAAATCCAAGCTGTCTCGTAATCCCCCGGAATCGCACAAACCATCTTCCCGATTTTAATTCTAGCTTGTTTGATCCGTTCCTCGGCAGGTAAGAATCGTAATAAATCTGGCGTCACATTCTTCGCCTCGAGAAAATTAGCATTGTATTTAGTCTCATACGATGTACGTAGCAGCTCGTATTTCTTATCATGTGGATAATATTTCAAGTAATCAAGCATAGTATTTGTCGAGAAGTCACACATGTTATTAGGCAATAAACTCGGAAATATGCTTTTCATCAAATACTGATTGATTTTTCGGAGTGGTAAGATGCGGATGTATATAAGTGGCTTTTCTATCAGGTGTTGCTTGGCTTTTTTCAGAAATATTTCGGCACACGTGTTGCTCAAAACAATACTCGGTCGATAAATCTCGTACAGTTCCACGAAAGCTTCTATTCGTCTCTTTATTAATTTGGGCAAGAAACGCTTGTATTTATTGATGCCGATCGCCAAGGGAGTGCGCTTAGTCATAATTCCTTTTCCGGGATTCAATAATTTGAGAAAACTCACTACCAAATCCGGATTTTTGTAAAAGATCTTTTTAACAAATTCTACAGGCAGCACGAATCCTTTCTCCTCGATCATTTTACAAACAAAATTATTATCGCAAGCCATGAACAATGGATAAGCGGTTTGAATGCCATAAGTAGATGCCACTGCCGTGAACATTTGCTGTGCGAAAACCGGATCCTTGCCGGACAATCGATGTGCGAGTGTAATCACGATACGCTTTCTCGTATTTACGGAAACGTAAGGAAAGAGACGTTCACAGAAGTACGCGACGTCGATGATCTCCTTGTGGCTGCCATCGAAAAACCAGGAGGCCTTAAAAGCCCGGTTTATTATCGTCAAGTTCTCGTGCTTGAGCGCCAACGTTATTTCCTCGTGCTTCTTCTTCTTGACGGCAATTTCCACGTGCAGTATAAGCAGCAATTCTGGCGGAAATTGCTCAAGATCCTTGCTATTCTGATGCAAAATCAATCTTCCGATCCAACGCCACTTCTCACCAGCGGTATCGCCCGGTATCTTTTGAATCGCCTGCAGATAAGACATCTGCAAGTCGCGAGGTATCTCGCAGTCCATTGTGACGTTTAAAGGCAAACGAAACGAACTAAACGAAAATATTCTATATATGTATAATATGTCCCGTAAATAGCGTGTGCGAATCTCTGCTTTATCCTCTTTCGTTATCCGGAATTGTCACCTTCGCTCAAGCAAACCTAAACAAAGATCATATTCGTATAGTACCGGTCAAAAATATTGCATCACTTATGGAAAGGGAAGTCGTTACAATGAAGAAAGACGTACATAAATATTATAAAATTTTATTTTAGTGCTGTTATTTTATGCTTTGATAAGAATACTTTGAGAAAAAAAAACAAAGACATTAATAATGATTTAATTGAGGTTGAATAATTATCGTTGACGATAATATATAAAACAACACAATTAAATCATTAAAATCATTTGTTTGTTTTCTCAAAGTACTTTATCAAAGCATAAAATAACAGCAATAAAAATACTAACATAAAATTTTATATCATTTATGTACGCCTTTCTTTATTAAAGTAACGACTTCCCTTTCCATAAGCGATGCAATACTTTTGACCGGTACTGTATGTTGTCATTCGATTAGCGGAAAGTCAAATCGATGCGGGATCAACGCTCGCGGTAAACATCTTGGTAACGGAAAATTTCGCGTGGAGAATGCACGTTCCGCGGTTACTGCAAATTTAGGCCCAGTTTCACAAGTGTCGGTTAAATTTTAATCTTAGATTAACTTACTCTTCGTCTCCTTCTAACGTCCCCCTTAGAAAAAGACTCGCGTTTCTTCCGACCTGTTCACTTCGACCGGAGGATTCACGAAACGATCGATCAGCGATGTGCTCGAACTTGCCAAAGAACTGTACGAAGGAACGATCAGGAGTGACAGCCTGAAACGAGAAACGCATGCGCCTTGTGTTTCACACGCGAGGCCCGTGTTAAAAGCAGTGATGTATCATCTTAGAATTGTACTACGAAAATTAGTAGCCCCATTGTTAGATGATGCTCTGAGCTCGCTTATTTCTTACTTTTTATTTACTTCTCAGACATCTTATACGACATATACGACAATGATGGTAAGAATGGTAAAGCAATGTTTCAGTCGAATTTAGAGTAAATTTTTCTCTAAAGAAAATATTAACTTATATGAGAATAAAAATGTCAATCAAAATTGCTTTTAAATTTAAAAGAGTTGAATATGCATAGGTATATTATAAAATACAAAAAAAAACTGAATAAGCTGCGATCTATGCAGGATATACAAAATAAATATAAGAGAATATATGGAAGTGATACATATGCCATATTAATGATACAAAACACGAAATAAATTTTATTTTCGTTACGATTTTATAGTTAATTATAGTTAATCTTGCGAAATCCTCAATATTCAGTTAAAATTACTTGAAATTTAGCGACAAATATATTGCATGATTTACTGATACTTTTTAAGTTTAATGATCGTGTAAAATTTCTTGATTTTAATAAGTCATAGTTTAAAAAACATTATAGTCTCCTTATTTCTACTAACTAAAACCTATCCTGTACTTAAGGGGAATAATAATAGTGCCCACATTCCGTTATATAAAATATCTTTGAAAAATAAGAATATTTATAAACGCAAAAGGTACCCGGAGAAACCTAATTTTAACGTATAATAGATAAAATTTTAGCGCCGTAACTTATTTTTCTTCTTTTCCCAATCCCATCTTTCTTCTCCTTTACGGAAGACCTTTATTTGCGAGTTTGTATCGATATTCAGATAATTGTATTTTCCGCTTTGTGAATCAGTCACTGACAACCACAAATTTGTAGTAGGCGTTGGATTTCTAAATCAGATTGAAAGTTAATCATTAATACGCGATACCTACATAATAAAATTAAAATGTCGCGAAAATTAAAAAAATACGTTTAAAGTTCGAAAAAAAGATATTCTCGTACCCTGTTTTAGCAAAATCTGTCCACATTTGCGTTAAACAATTTATCATCTTATAGTCTTCCGAATCAACTGCAGGTGCTGATAAGCCCAAATTTCTTATCATATAAGGATGAAATAAGTACGCCAATTCCTCGCTATGAGTCACACCTATAAAATATTATTATTTAACCGTTAATTAAATCTGTAAATTAATCTTTTAAATGCTTTAAAAGACAGATTACTTTTTAAATTAAATTATATAAAATAAAACCATTTTTGTTTCCTTAAAATCATATCTATAGATTTAAAAACTAAGAAATTTAGAAATATTTGGAGTTATTTTATGTTGTAATTGCGATATGTGTAATTACAACATAAAATGATATACATACTCTCTAAAATTAAAAGTCGTTAGTTTTGAAGTAATTACAAGTTGTTAAATAGTTTTAAATGAATTAATGATAATACCTGGAGTCTGAACTTTAACTATTTTTCTCAAGGGATTATTTTCACTCTCATATGAAAATTGATACAGATACGTCGCTTTGTTATCATTATTATTCAATTTTGTCTGAATATCCACCACTTCCATTATGCTACGACAGACGAATTCATCGCTGATAAAATTAACGTAATTTATTAGAGTTTCCTCTGACACTGCTTTGTCACCAAAATATAAAGATTTCAATTCTTCGATTGTGATTGATATTTTTGATAATGTAGATAAACATCTGGGTAATATAGTTTTCTTGAAATCGGAATTGACTGCTTCAAGATCCTCTTTGCTTATGTCTGAAATAATTTTAAAAACATTTTAGTATTAATTTTCTGTATATAAGACTGTTGCGTGATAAGTAAAATAAATATTTTAATAAATTTTTCTTTCAAGCTAAAAAAATAATTGATTTAAGCACAATTTTCAAAGAAAATATGTTGTCAAAACATTATTTAACATTTTTCATATAGTGTGATTCGATAAAAAGAATGCGACATGAGAGAAATACATATGTATATTACATATACATATATTATACATATAGATAATACGGCATATGAAAATATACATTTATCTCAACACGCTCTACGATAACGAAACTGAACTATAGACAAACGTGAAATAAAGTTATCTTGAAACAAAAATGTTCTAACAATTAATTATGATTCTTATACATGTATTTCAAAATTACGGATTAATAAAATTTACTAACTTTATATAAATATATGTACAATATTATTTGTGAAAATTTTATTTAATTGTAAGCATTGACAGTGCATGTTTGCTAGGTCACCTAATACTAATATTATGTTATTTTGAACACAACACATTGTATGAAAATTCGAAGCGATTAAAAATATACTTTATAGAGATAAAAATAAAACTCACGTCCGTTAAAGTCACTACATATCAGAATAGATCCCTCGCAACTGGTAAAACCTAAAAGAAATGGTACTTTAACCTCGCGGCACATAAACGTCTCTGGATCTTCCGGGAAAAATGGATTCGATGATTCGTGATCCAAAGAGGGTGTAAATATAAAGCTGAATTGTTTACGCTCCTGCGAAAAAAATATTATCAAAGAAAGTATTTTATTCGCATAGACTAAAAATAGTAGCGTGCATACTATAATTTATTGCACTCGTATAATTACGATTAAATGTTCAGATAATTACTGATTCCGTCAAGAGAAACTTCCGTTCAGTTTCTATAAGCTTTTTCGCATCGATTGTTTTGAGGAACTCGTAAGCGACTTTCGGATCTGCGGTCGCTTTTCCAAGTTTCTCGGCGAGCCGAAAACCTCTGTCCGAATGTAGTTGTTGTTCGGTAAAAGCCCAAGGACACCTTATGACGCCGCTTTGCGA